ACGCGCCTGATAAAGCGTCAGCAGCAAATTAACTAGTGACGGTTAGATTGTAGGAATTTGGCCACCCTGCGCCATTTTATAAATCGTATATAATTATAACATTTTTAGTATAGTTCATTATTGTTCGTGATCCGATTGGCCGAATAACTTTTTTCAATTAATTAATATTTTTGTAAGGTATTGGTTGAGATAAAAAAGTCAGTGTCACGAGCGGGATTCGAACCAACGACATTCGGCTAAATACGCCGCTGCTCTACCACTTGAGCTAGATCACGAAATCTAATGGATTTAATAAGTAAAATGAAGTATATCTTTGCTAAAGCTCTCCGTGGCCATTTCATTTGTGGCCGAGAATCGAATCCTGATTACACAACATTTGAAAAATGGCAAAAAGAAGGGAAAATTCNGATTCACAGCGACTTATGACTTGGCCACGGCGAAACACGGTGAAAATGACAAAAAGGAGGGAAAATTCGAAAGGTGGGTTGATATGGGAAGTTGGTGTCCGAGTGGATCGAAGTCACGATAGCTCAAGTGGTAGAGCAGCGGCGTATTTAGCCGAAGGTCGTGGGTTCGAATCCCGTTCGTGACACTGACTTTTTTATCTCGACCAATACCTTACATAAAAATAAATTAATTTAAAAAAATTTTAGTTTAGGTTTTTTCTCAAAAATGTGATAATCTACCTGAAAATATATAACAAGCACATCACTGGAGAAATAGGCCATCCAATCTCAATATGGACGCTAACAAGACAGCTGCAATTCTGTATTTTATAATATTGCCCAAAAAAGTATTCGCTTTTGTATTTTGGATATTAAGTGTGTAATCGCTTTTCAAAACGCAAGTTTTGCAATTTCACAAGAAAGTTAGATGTTTTGATTATCCTGAATTCGAAATGAATTACTAAGTTCGCGCTGAGATAGATCATTGTTTTGACTTGGGGCGCCTCGGAAAAGTTTTAATATTTTAATGGAGCCGAAAACAGAAAAAGTTTGGGAACCGCTAGTATTCAGTTTTCATTGATCATCTATCGTAGTTTAGCTATCAATCTCTTCGCTGGCTTTTAGTTTCTGGAATTTCATCGTATTGACTTTGTCTGAATTTCTAAGCATTTCATCGATTAGATCCTTTATTTAGTTATTATTGTGCGTTTTTTATCAGGCACTGATGCTTGGCTTAGCTTGATTCCCTTTGGTTTTTAGTACTTATCCTAAATCATACCTTTTGAATAGCTCCTGGAGTGCACTAGTTAGCAGTACTAAGCAGTTTAATTTTCGTTGTTCAAACGTGATCACATTTCGAAATCGATTATATTTCGGGGTCCGATTGAACAAATAACTTCTTTTAATTAATTGATCTTTTTATGTAAGGTATTGGTTGAAATGAAAAAGTTAGTGTCACGAGTGGGATTCGAACTCAAGTGCTCGCAATTTTGGCCATTGTAGTTTATTACCCCACAATTTGTATTTTCTTTTATTTCCCTCCTTTTTGCCATTTTTCAAATGTCGTGTAATCAGGATTCGATTCTCGGCGACATATGAAGTGGCCACGGAGAGCTGTTAGTGCAGTTATACTTCGTTTTACTTCTACTACTTTTACTTCTACTTTAATTCATTACATTTAGAGGTCCATTGACCATATTACTTCTTTCAATTAATGAATCTTTTTATGTAAGGTTCTGGTTGAAATGAAAAAGCTAGTGTCACGAGCGGGATTCGAACCCACTCTGTGGCTCGTGCCGAAGGTCGTGGGTTCGAATCCCGCTCGTGACACTAACTTTTTCATTTCAACCAATACTTTACATAAAATATTTCGAAATGTTTAGTTGTAATACCGTAATATAATAATTAATCAATAATAATTGAAGAAAAGTGAGAAAGTAAATGAGTTTTCATGTATGGACGTTGTCAGCATGATAGAGAAGTAGTAGTTTACATAAAATTGCCTAAATATAATTCTAAAGAATCGTTATAAAAATCATGTTGAATTGTCTGATGTGCTGTCGAACTTGGGATATCCGAGTCATTCCACAGACCGGAGATATTTGTCCTGTTAAGGAAAATGCAATAGTAAAATTAAAAACCTAACAGATCGAAACGGAAGAGGTGTAAACCGGCCGAAAACTTAGACGACGGTACAACTTTTCCCTCTGCTTGGTCGTCACGTTTCACCGGAGAGAACAATTTAACAACATTACAAGTAGATATTGAGTTAGATGCGTAGTGCGTACGCTTTCAGGCGGGAGCTTTTCTCCACCGGGGTGGATGTTGTTGCCTTGGAAGCGGATCGATCATTTGACCCAAATCCCGCCCCGTGGTCCGCCTGCACCCCTCGCCGACCCGGCTGGAAAGCCTGGAACCCAGTCCACAGACTGCACGCCACCCCGGGTCACAGGGAAGTTTACCATTCGGCGATTCCTCGTTCAGAATGAACTGTTTCGGCTGAATCTCAATTCGTTAAAACGCAAAAAATGTTTAACATCTCAAACCTCATTGTTATACACCACCCTGCGTTTTAAGTCACCGCTCCTTCTAAAATTGTATTGAAGTCTCGTAAACACTGCCCAATAACTTTCATGGATACGATCGTTTCTTTCCTCTAATTTTTGTATTCGTGTTATTGCCAGTGTTTATTATCATATTATTCGACTTTTTTCCCGCCCAATGTCTTCAAAGTCCACAAATCCTTCCGAAATTGTATTGAAGTCTTGTGAACACTGCCCAATAACTTTCATGGATACAATTGCTTCTTCCCTCTAACTTTTGTATTCGAGTTATTGCTATTTATTTCATTTTTTCTTGTTTTTTTTTTCTTTACCGGGTAACTGCTAAATTCATTGCAGGCTCCTCGCATATTTCCCATCAGGCGTTTTTTACCTTTTTCACTTGGTTATATTCAACCCTTCCACACGTGGTTTATGTTCCTAATGCAACGTTGCATACATGATTACACCATTTATGTTGTTGCAAAAATTGGCCTAACCCCTAAAACCAATATAAAATATATACTATGCTATCTATAAATTACAATTGAGAAGCCCACAGGGTGTTCATAACTTCGTCGTCCTCCCATCATTCACGCTAATAAATACATGCATCCAGAGCAGAATCTTTTAAGCAAGTTGTTACGTACAAAAAAAAGTTAGATACCGTCTTGATTTAATATTACTCGGTGATTTGCCCACCTATTACACTATGTTCATTCATGCATACTAACTAACCTATCTAAATTGAAAGGTCTACACACACATTTCCGCCTATAATACATTCACATATAGAAGTAGACACCGGTGTTTTTGTATTAATACAAAGCCTTCACCTACCTTTCATATTACAAGCATATATTAAATAATTTGACGAGTCTGAGAGGTACATGATAATCCTTCTCAGACATATACTCAACCATTTTTGCGAATAAATACAGTCACATCCCAAATGATAACCATGTATGAAGGGGTGCCCATATGCAATCATACTTATATTGACTTAAGATATTCAAATAATTTTTCTCTGCCATTATTGTTAAGGCCTAATGTTTTTCTGTCGACTGAGGATATGTTGCACTTTTTTTGGTATTCTTGCAGTAGTTCGCATAGTTTTTGCCAGTGTTAATTATTATATTATTCAACTGTATTTGAAGTACTTGATGCTGCCAAAATAATTTGTTTCTGTTGAAGGATGTCGCCGTTCAACATTCTTTTCTTTTTTTTTTTTTTTTTTTTTGTAATACGTTACCAATCTAGGACTAGTTTATGAGTCGAGTTGTCAATGTTAATTGGGTAATTTCTTTATTCGACTTAGCAATGTGACTTTTGTATCTGTATGTCGCCTTACAAAACTACAGACTTAAAAATTCACAGTTCTTCTGAAATCTTATGAAGTCTTCTAAACTTTGCCCAAAGTTTTCATGGGTGGGAACTGGTTTATGTCAACGGGTTTAAAACTTGCATCGCAGGGTTCATGTCAGCATCCTTATTTTCCTTGTTTTCAAATTGCGTACATAGTCTGTTCTCGCTCTGAATTATTATTTTTTTTAAATTATGCACAATCAAGGAGTCAGGAACAAGCCGAGTCACTGCTAGAGCTGTTAATTTGGTTAATCAACGTTTATTCAGTCTGGCAATGTGACTTTGGTCCCATCCATGAATTTTTCCTGTCAATCACATTTTTACCTTTAAGACGATGCCCATTTTATCCAATTTTTGATACATTGTCATTAATTTTTTTCTTGTTAAAAAATAAATAATCATTTAAAAACAAAGTTTTTTTCTTCATTTGAGGTTTTCAACGTTATTCCAAATTCACTAGTTTCGTGGTCCGCTTGACCAATTAATATCATACAATTAATTAAGGTTTTTAGTTGAGATAAAACAGTCAATGGCACGAGCGGGATTCGAACCCACGACCTTCGGCTTGATACGCTGCTGCTCTACCACTTGAGCTATCGTGACCTCGATCCATTCGGACACCAACATCCCATCTCAACCACACCTTTTATCTCAACTAAAAACCTTAATTAATTGTATTATTCCAAATCATCAGGCACCATCTTTTTTTTTTTTTCATTTCTTACCTTCTTACTTTCCTATGCTGGGGTAACCTTTTCAAGAGAATCTGTTCTTCATCAGTCAGTAAATGTAATGCTATTGTAGTATGAGAAATGTATCATTTGTCCAAATTGTAAACAGATCTTACTTGCCTGGAAAGTTATTAAATACTGCCTACTTATAAAACGGACAATTGAAAGATGGTGTTATAGATAAATTCAGAAAAAATAAATAAATATTGTGAGTTCAATTTACAGATCAATAAATTTAAAAAATAGAATATACAACTTTTTTTATAACATATTTATTTTGAATGGTATAAACATATAATATATATTTAAGTTATAAAATATTATCTTTGTACATATATATCTTATTACTTTTCTTTTACCTTTCAAAATACACCACTTTTTTATTGATTTTTTTTTTTAAATAATACTTTAATATGATGATATTAACCCATTTTACATTTATAATATTTTTTTTTTACCTAACATCAAACATCAATTGTTTTATTTTCAAGCCCCAGACATGTCTGACTTCATAAATCCTTCAAACCATTAACAAGATTATTGAAACAAGAGTGTAACGACAAACGGTCATCTCAACATTTAAAAAAGCATTGTATTCTGTTTTCAAAATTTCCATTTAAGGCAAAATTAGTTTCACTCGACTCCGCTAATCCAAATACAACATCTATCACATATCCTATTGTTGTTTCTTATTGTTTTATAAGCAATAAATCTGCTTTGGTCTTCGGTACCATTGTTTCTTCTAACTGCTATTGACAATTTCAATTATTGATTGCAACATAAAAACACAGATGACAACAGCATTGCAAATGCAAAATAAAACGGAAAACATGTTCGAGCAACAATGTAATGAACTCATACTAACAAAGCTCAAAAGATTACAACCGGTAAATTAACAACTACTATTTATGTCCCAAGCAATACCATATCACCAGTCCAAAGAGTAGGAAACAGGCATCTCACTTTCATTGCTTAAATTTTTTAAAGATTTTTTTTGTTTTCGTTGTATTCTTTCTTAAAACTTTATTAATATTTTTGATGTTATTCTTTTACACTGTTAAATTTGATATTAGTTGGAAGATATATGAAAATGATCGTACATATGGGTGAAATAATCTAGTAAAAAATCAAAAAGCTGCACGAAACACATAAATGTATGCTTTTCTAAATCTTCCTCGATGAAGGTCTAACTTACAAGAAATAACTACAAGATCCACAACAAAGACTAACTAGTTAGCAGAGCAGCAATTATGTAATAGCATGATTGTAATCATTAAAATTGTTTATAAATGTTGAACATTATTCAGCTTCAATAAAACAGTACAATTCAGAAAATTTTGGGATAAAAATAGTTATAATTAACAGTGTAAAAGAAATAAAAACGTTAATAAAGGATAATTAATTTTTCTCATTAAAATAAATTTCTTATTAAATTCGAATAATTAAAACATCCTAACAGGATTGGAATGCAAATAAAATCAACCGTCTGAACGGAAATGGATCCAAATAAAAATGGAAATAAATCGGAGAGAGATAAAACCAACTTTTTTGTTTTGTGTTAATTTTTTTCAGTGGAAGACGTAATTTATGTGTGATAATCGCCAATTACTGCCCTCACCATGGATCCACTTCAGTTTGAGGAATGTTTGTCTGAAGAGATGGCATCACTACTGTTGCTCGAACTAAGAGTTGTGTTAGAACCGCAAGGGTCCAGCGAGCTCTGGACTGACATAGACCTTCCTCCGCTCCGTCTCACTCTGCTGGGGCTCAGTTTACCAGGATCTACACTGTTGGGGTCTGCCTACAACATGGTGTCGCTCATGAATATCCAATCGACAAATTATTTATTCTTAAAACGTAAGCAGTAAACAGTGTCCAATTAACCAACGCAGGATATTCCTGGTGGAAAATAACTGGTCGGAAACTGTTTTAAGTGTACTTTGTTTGAAAAACAAAATTTCATATATTTAAGCATAAAATAAAAAATGTTTACTAATTCAATTAATATAAAAATGATTGATTCGAGACCTGATAGGCAAGTGCATTCATAATGATGCTGTATGGAACGATTCCAAGAGGATGTATCTCCCTCATTAGAACATTTGCAGGTATCTTGTGAAATTGAATGTATTCAAGGAAATTCCCGATTACATCTTTGAGCACAATGTTGGGGTTTGAATCACAATATTTCTTGCTCCACATAAGAGCTGCCTGCACACACACAAAAACCTTGTTGCATTAAATTGTTAAATGTTTAACACAATGACGTAACCTGAAATTTGGTGAATTCATCAGCTCTGAGCTCTTCTCGAGCAAGTATGAGCCTTACAACATGTTGGGGTAGAAGGGTGAATGAGCCTAAATTTAGAACTTCATTACCGTGCTCATCAACAAACTCTAAAACCTGAATTAAAAACAAAAAAATTAACCAAACGTTTTAGATAGTTTCATACAGTTGTTCACCTTTTGAACTAGAGATTTTGTGCACTTATACTGTATATATCGCTCGGCTGATGCAAGAAGCGCACAAACTGTGTCAACATTGATACAGCATTGCACAAACCCAGCACAAGCTCTTCGAAGTTCATCAAGACCATAGTAGTCCGCAGCATTCATCACTCCTACAAAAAAAAAGTTCGAAAATCCATTCTTGCAATTGATAAATTTATTTACCTAAAAGGGTCCGAGGCTGAAGTGTCACACATCCTGTATGTATGTATTCTATCAACTGCCTGAATACGTCTGGCTCAAATTCCTCAATAATCAAAGTGTGATGCTGATTAGAAGATGGCTGTAAAACATACAGGTCAAATAAAAATTTACATAAATGCATAGCTAGATACCAAGACACATATAAATGATTCATAAATTGAATATTTTTTATCAGAACATACAAAATATTAATAAGCTTTACCTCACCTCGAAAATTGCTACATTCTTAAGTTTACAATTATTAATAGTAAATGAAAATCCCTGTTATAATCAATAGTGGTTTCTTTATTATAGGTTAAAACAACTGAGAAACTTCTTCAGAAATTCTGCATCACTCAGAATGAGAAAAAGATTGTTAAAATTTTAACAAATGTGCCTTAAAATAATTTCTGCTAAAAGAAAAACTGCAAAAATGTTAACTGAAAGAAAAAACCTAAAAATTATTAATTTTTAAATAAGTTAAATAATTATGATTTAAAAAATTACAAGACTAAGAAAAATTGTGAAAGAATGAACAGAAATTTACAGCTGGCAATGATCTTCTGCCGAAGACTGTCACTATGTATCTATGTGTACTAAGCATGGATAAATTTAATATTTCAAAATACATACAAATATTCTTGAAATTGTTCTTTGTTTTAATAAAGAGGCAATTTCAACAAATGTGACAATATTTATGTAATTATAAAAACTCTTAAACATGTTTATTGCATGGCTCATAGCTTTGTTTAGATTATTACATCATAACATTTTGCCTATTTGAAAATATCATACGCAACAATTAGGGATAAATTAACTCAGTTCCTTCGCCAAGCTTTTTTACAAAATACCCTCTAAAATAAGTTCTTTAAAGATTTAACTAATAATTTAAAATATTAGCAAATGTGAACATTAATTCCTACTAAATTCACTAGTTTCGTGGTCCCCTTGACCAATTAATACCATACAATTAATTAAGGTGTTTAGTTGACATAAAAAATGGCAAAAAGGAGGGAAAATTCAAAAGGTGTGGTTGAGATGGGAGGTTAGTGTCTGAGTGGATCAGGTCATGATAGCTCAAGTAGTAGAGCAGCGGCGTATCAAGCGAAGATCGTGGGTTCGAATCCCGCTGGTGCCATTGACTTTTTTATCTCAACTAAAAACCTTAATTAATTGTATGATATTAATTGGTCAAGGGGACCACGAAACTAGTGAATTTAATAAGTTTAAAATGAAGTATCCTTCACTAAAGCTCTCCGTGGCCATTTCATTTGTCGCCGAGAATCAAATTGATTACATGACATTTGAAAAATGGCAAAAAGGAGGGAAAATTCAAAAGGTGTGGTTGAGATGGGAGGTTGGTGTCCGAGTGGATCGAGGTCACGATAGCTCAAGTGGTAGAGCAGCAGCGTATCAAGCTGAAGATCGTGGGTTTGAATCCCGCTCGTGCCAATGACTTTTTTATCGCAAAAAAACCTTAATTAATTGTATTAATTCCTACTATCGAAGCCTATGATTTCAAATAAAATTAAATTTACAGAGTATGGGATCAAAAATAACCTGTACAAATATAACCACCAATATCAATATTTATCTCTATTGCTGATTGTAAAAGATTTTTCACAATGTTTTAAAATTTTTGTAAACTAGATATTCAATATTTTTCATAGTTTATTCTTTAGTATAATGACCTGATATATTTCTTTACAAAAAGTATACCACAATATCTCGTCGCTTCCAGGACTGGCCAATTTCATTACAGTCAAAAAATGCACTGGTGGACAAATTTAACACACCATTTGGTTCAAAATTAAATCTATTATCTTTTTATATTTGTACAGACATTAGAAGCTATCGAAGTCAAAATAAACAGTAAATTTATTTCTTTGTTTACTTCCTTTGTTCTGTTTTGTACTGATTAAATACCATTTGCCCAAAGCATAGCATTACATCCTTCTATTCTCCTACTCCTAAAGATCACTATCAGTTGATCTTTTTCTTTTGTGAATTTCATTTGATATTATTCTTAGACCTTTACCAGTGATTGCAGTTAGGCATTTTAGTGAGTATGACAATGTCAGGGTTATAACATTATTACAAGAAGGATAGCTATATCCTGTTGACTGCAACATGAAGTCGCCAAGAGACTGAGTGCAAATCACTCTACAATAGGAAGGGTTCTTCAGTGCTTCAGGGAAACACCCATCATCAAGACCATTATGGGATATGTGCTAAAAAATGTGTTAAGACAAGTCTGAAATGTTTCATTTCCTCCAGGAATGTAAGAGCTCCCAGCACCTGGCTTGTGGACCTCTTTTTGTTACAGATCAGAAAATGGCCAGACTTCAATTCACATGGGTGAATTGGACATCGGAAGATTGGAGAAGTTTTCTTTACAGATGAAGTGAGATTTGGCCTCAAATCTACAGATGAGCGTAATTTTTGGAGAAATTAGGAGACGCTCAGGAGAAAAGTACACTCTATGCTGTACGGTTCCTCAGGTAGCATTCCACAGCAGGTCATTGATGTTCTGGCGCGGTGATTTCTTGTACACCCACACCGAATTGGTTGCTGTGCGAGGAAGATCTCTAGCTTCACCGAGGTACATACAAGACATAATCAAAGAACATGCAGAGCCATTAGGATAATGCCAGGCCCCGTTGAGCAGATTGTGAATGACAACAATGAAGTTGGAATTGAGTGCTTGGTGTGGCCAGCACGAAATCCAGTTTTGAACCCAATCGAACACATTTGGGACTAACCTAAGCGATGAATACGATGGCGAAACTCAGGTCCTAACACCCTAGAAGAATTGGAAATGACTGTTCTTGATGATTTTTCAGTATTTTATCTGAAATTTTTTCCAAGTAATGCCAAATTGTTTAATGTACGTGATTTTTTTTTTTTTTTTTTTTAATTACTCAATAATTGTTTTTTAGAAGTAGGTATTAAATTTTCCTTTTAAATGTCTTATTTTTACAACCAAACTTATTTTTGGTATACAAAATATGAATACACCTAAATACATTAAAATTGAAGGATGGTGCATTAATTTTGCCCATAATTGTAGTTGATGTTTTAAGAGCCAGATCAATTTATCGCTACCTTTATCCAAATATGTAATTAGGCATTAACAATTTTTTTAAAATTAGATTTTGCAGAAAATACAAATTTATTAAATTTGTCTTTAAAATACAAGAATAAAACTTCTTTTTTTTAGAGGAATTAATCATAATAAATTTTGATTTAAACTAGTTTAAAAAAACCTTGTTTAATCTAAGATTAAATTTAATTATTCAGAAATCGTGAGATGCGGTCTGGTGTGATAGGTTTCAGAAAAACATTTTCTTTATCGTGCCAATGTTTCGATCTTTATTGAGATCATCTTCAGGGCTCAAAGTGTTTTCTTCTGTGTAATTGTGCCATTCTTGCGTGTCGTGTTGAGAGTGCCCAAGAACGCCACGACACGCAAGAATGGCACAATTACACAGAAGACGAACACTTTGAGCCCTGAAGATGATCTCAATAAAGATCGAAACGTTGGCATGATAAAGAAAATGTTTTTCTGGAACCTATCACACCAGACCACATCTCACAATTTCTGAGTAATTATCGATTAACGGTCACTAATGACCAAACATTAAATTTAATCAATATGAAGTATTATTTTCATAAAATGAATCACTTTATTGCTATTTTTATTTTGTTTTACAATATAATTATGTACAGATTCAGCATGCACAAATATACTTGTTTTGTAAAGTAGTTTCTTTGAAGAAAATACAATAAAAAAATTGTATTTTCTTGTTCAAACATAAATAAATTAAATAGAGAGAGGGGAGGCAACATACAGATGTAAAACTTACAGGAAGATCTAATCTATCACAAAGATGAAAAGATATGTCATGCATACTTTGAGAAGAAGCAAAATATTAGTCCCGGAAACCGTTGTATTATAATGTGAATTTTGAATAATGAATATATTCAATGTGCGTAATTAAATTTATCATTACCTCTTGTATAGGGGCAAGCTGTTGTGTATAGCCACCTCGCTGTGAAAACATTAAACATTATGTACATTCCCGTCACAGAACAAAACAAACTCAAAAACGAGTATTTCCAGGTGTAAAAATCTAGACACATTTGGATAAGAACTACCATGTAACAAAACATTAAGTGTTCTGGACTTGTAAAAGCAACATCAAATAAAAGCATATACAATAACTTTTTAGCACTAAGTGCAACATTAACACGTTAAGCTAATAATGCATCATTTTTGCCCCTTTTCATAAAATATGCGACTTTGTACTACTGGTGATATTCATATATTCCTACCTTGACTGTAAAATAAAGTCTTTAGGTACTAACAACCAGTAATTACACAATATCCAAGGGTGGTTAATAAATAATAATAACAAAATAAATAAAATGTGGAAGAGTGGTTTAAGTGCTTAACGTGTTAATCAAAACAATAATTCAACTAATTAATTTCAACTTTTTCACAACGATTTTGAAATGATTACTTGTGCTGCAGCATTCTGTAAGTTGAGTAGGGGTTCAGAGCTTCTCTTCAGGAAAAGCCGCAGCTTGTTCTCTTTCGGCGGCGCTTCCTTTTTCCTCTGAGGACTCGGCGCTTGGTATAACATTTTATGGAAAACCCTACGGTTTATTGGCAAATGTCAGTGTAAAATAAAACGATTATGAACGTAACTTTACCACCTGCTTCTAGCTGCTAGCACTGCTTTAACCGCACAAACCGGTTCCCTCGTGTCACCGACAAGAAATGTGACATCGCACAGCTCAGGCATGCTCGCCAGAAATTTCATGTCCTCGGCCAGGCCAGTCTTGTTCTCAAATGTCGAGAGATCTGGCTCATCGACTAAATCAAGTGCCATTACTTCAGGCATATCACGAACTGTTTAACACATCTCGCCTGAATAAATTATAAATCATTTCTGTAATATATTTATATACTTTCTTGCATAGTTTATTTATAAATACCAGTGCATTTTTATATTGTCAATTAAATATCAATAGAATAATGTATAATGATTTTTTTTCTAAATATTTATTCCACTATTTTCATTATTTCAATAATACCAAAAAGCTGATTTATTATAAGTTCTTCATTCTTTCTATTACATTTTTAATTGCAGTTTATGACATTTATTCTCATTTTTGATAGAAATAAAATTCATAAATTCATTTTTTTTTTCAAGTTTTAACACAAATGTATACTATAACAGACAGAGCAAATTATTTAGAAGCTACAGGTGTCTACATAACATTGTTTCTTTTTGCCATGAAATTTTTCTGTTGATTTGTAATTTCAACCTCCAGAAATTTTTTTAAACAGTTTTTTAAATAAAATAAAGCAAATAAAATTTAATGGACTGTTAGTAATAAATAAAGCCTTTTTATTGAAAATGTATTTATAACTAAATTATAAAAAAAAAAGTTTTTATATATTTTCTTATAACTTTCAATCTTACTTTTAACAAGAACAACAAAAAAGTGTTTAGATTATTGAAAATATTTAGTAAAAACACTCACTCCAAGTTGTTGATCTTCGACAGCCTGTTGATTCAATTATCACACGCCTTGTACGATTCGGTCAAACCTCCCCACCATCGCTTTCAATGTGAAAGCCTACTGACAGAGGACCGAGTACGATAGACAATTACCTCAATCCAAATGTGACCAGAACACAATCCCAAAAATCCAAGAAGCTGTGAGCAGTGTTCAAAAGGAACAGCTCCAATTTTGCAGAGCTGGGGGTACGGTGGAAGGAGGATCAATAATTCTGGGCATGCCTAACTGCAGATTTAGAAGGGAGGAATGAGCATTATATGATTTTCCATTATATCCAATTGAAATTATTTTTGAATCAACAAATCTTGAAATTCAAATTGATTTTAATGCTATATATAAATCAATATTTTGATTAATTTATTCCATATATATATTTAGTAGTCATAATTGACCATTTTAATTAATACTTTTTATCTAAGGTTTTGGTCGAGATGAAAAAACCAGTGCCATGAGCAAGATTCAAAATAAAAATAGAATTAATTATAATAAATTCAAAATGTTTGGTTTTGAAAAACAAAAAGCAAGTTTATAATTAAATAAAGTAATTATTCAGAAATCGTGAGATGCGGTCTGGTGTGATGTAGGTTTCAGAAAAACATTTTCTTTATCGTGCCAACGTTTCGATCTTTATTGANTATATCTCACTGGCACTCTCAACACGACACGCAAGAATGGCACAATTACACAGAAGACAAACACTTTGAGTGAGTAGAAATACTTTGATTGAATATAAAAAATATATTTTGCATTGTATAAATTCACTTTTCCACATCCTAAATGTATTTGTTAAATATAAACAATGTTTGTAAATCCCAGACCCTGAAGATGATCTCAATAAAGATCAAAACGTTCGCACGATAAAGAAAATGTTTTTCTGATACCTATATCACACCAGACCACATCTCACTATTTCTGAATAATTATCGATTAACGGTCACTAATCACCACACATAAATAAAGTAACATCAGTTTGTGAAAATGAAGAGTAAAAGTTTTTTTTTGTTTTATTGAGGACAAAAAGAATTGGCTCTCCCATAAAAGGGCTAGTTTTCTTTCTGATAGAACTGCTGGTACTTGATTTCTACTCATATTTACCCCTCCACATGTGGCAAAAAGGCGCTACAATTGATGTATAGCTTGAAACATAGCCTAACATTAGTTTGGCAGGTTTCAGGGTACTCGATATTCTATGAAGGCCCATTCTCATTCATGCTAATAAATACAATCATACTGATTATAACCTTTCATACCAAAAGTACAGCTAAAACTTGGTGAGCCACTGGGGTATTAATATTACCCCTGTACCCCTTCACTCTTCCTCCACCTGCAGGTGAAGACGGACCCAGTAGTGCCTGTGTGCCGGTTCAATATGAGTTCACCAATTCGCAGGCCAAACCCCATCTCTACTAAAGCTAACCTAGTTTGATGGGTCTGTGAGTACTCGATATTCCACCACGACCCAACCACTCATAACAATAAATACATTCATACAAGACACAAAGCACTCGCAGACAAATCTTAACCTAGTTTGATGGGAATTAGCATTATTACAAATAAATTTGGTAAAATCACATTGTGTGTTGTTTTTTCACCCTTGACCATTTAATTTCATGGTGGGATTAGGCCTATGAAAAAATACAACTATGCAACATTTTACAATTATCTTTTGCATTGCAAAGGATATTAATAATACAGATTAGCATAACCGTGATTATAAGAATTTCTTTTAAACAATTCTTGCTGATCATTTTTAGCATTATTTAATTTCCCGTACAGTCGTTAAATACTCACACAATAAAACAAGGCATTAAAAAAATATTGTTAACATTAATATATTTATTTGAAAAATAAAGGTACAATTATACAAAATACAAAAAAAACCATACAGCCCTTAAATACTCGCACAATAAAACAAGACATTAAAAAAATATTAACATTAATATATTTATTTCAAAAATAAAGGTACAAATTATTATACAAAATTTCCCATTCTATTTACAAAATTAGACTAACTAAAACAATTATTGTCGAGGTAAGTACCTGTCAATAAATCAAATTTATTATCACATGAGAAATTTGATTTTAAATCAATTTCAATTTTGTTGTGCAAAACAATAAATAAGGACAAAATTGAAATTTGATTTTAAATCAATTTCAATTTTGTTGTGCAAAACAATAAATAAGGACAAAAATTTATGTTACTAGGGGAAAAAAGCGAGATGATAAACCTGTAGCTTTATTGTCTCTGATAATGATCTGCCCCATCTTGCTGGTTTTATCAAGAGACGACCAAAATACTAAAACCTTTAGTCTTTAGCCACTACCCCCATCATACTAGGACCGTAACTGTACCGACATAAGCAAAAAAATATTCTTTGTACCAATAACATTGGAAAACGCCCATTATAACAAAACGACCATCAAATGCCAGTTCAGTCACAATTTTCCAGACAAAATATTTTATACGTGATGGCACGCTCCATGTATGAAACGCATGTTGCCACAATGATGTATGCAGACAGCCCACTGCTTTGTTGCATCAACAGCTGACAATTGGAATGATCAATCACATTTCTCTGAACATATCATTTTCATGAATTTATCACAATTTTATATTTTTTAATAATTTTAATTAACCTTATCTTATAATATGTGGTATTTATTTATCTCTTATCTTAATAATTAATCTTAACCTTATATAATTAATCACAAATAATTCATAATTTCATTGATATATTTACCATTTAATTTGGAATGTTCCAAAAGATCAATTACCTATATAATTGGCTATATAATCATATAATTGAGTTGAAATAAAAAATTTAAAAAATAAATTGTTTTTCTTACTGTAGACACACAGCAAATTGGAGTTATTAAATTAAATGTTCCAATATTCTTCTTCAGTTTTCTGTTTTCCCAAAGATTTGAGAAACAAGTACCGTCTCACAGTTTTTTTACAGTTTTCCTCTTCTTCACCAAAAATATTGGCAATCATTGCCAATTTCTAGTACAGAACATTTCCTAACAACATATTTCATTTAAGAAAATAAATAACAATAACATAAATAACAATGTAGTGTTCTCTTGTCTATATATCTCTTGTCTATATATCTTTTATATGTTTTTATAGTATACTTACAAAAGTAAAGAAAATGTTTTCATAGACATATAACAAATAATTTGACAGGTGTATTAAATATTCTTACATTTTTGGCCAGTCTTTAATTAAATAAATGACCTTTAATCTTTCTTCGCTAATTGAGCACACCTGGATGAGCATTATTTTCTTCACTTTATAAACTTCCACTGTATGAACAGAATAGATGCATTTTAACTAAAAATATGTAGAAGTGCTATCTTATTATTTCATTTGCTAACAACATTGCTTGATTGTTTCAATACGTGAAATTGCACCGAGTAGACTTCTTGTCTCAAGACGATGCCATATTGTTGCCATGAACAGGCAATAAAAAAGTAAAAGTGATGTTGGGGGGAGAAATACAGCATAGAAATAATACGGATATAACATGTGGAAAGGGTGCAGGACAAGAATAGTACATATGAGAATAAAGACCGTCCAGTAGTATCTGGTGTTTTTTGGCACATTACATAAAGCCGTACTGCAAATGCAAAGGGCGTGTTCCAAGTCACTCATCCTAAGAAGTTCATATCCTTCAGAGTTGTTTTTATTGTTAGATTTTCTAATGGTAAAACTAGCAGAAATGGCATCATGATCGGAGTAGCTGAAGATCTTCCCAGGGACCGTGTCTTCAAAAGGAAACTTGTACTCTTCAGGAGTGGCCGCATATCCGTTTTTCACATTGTAGAGGATATAGTCAAACCTTTTGCCCAAAGGATTTTCATCGAGATCTTTCTGACTAGTGAATGATATCCTTGAAGAGCCGCATGTTCCCCAATCCTTGAAATCGTTGACCTCGGCACAGTGAGCATCCTTGAGGTTGCCTAGGCCGGTGATGAGGTTGTAGCAGATGTCACCTGGTTCAGAGTTCATATCACCACAAAATACTGTGAAGTCTGAGCCGAATGAAGTCAGTCTCAAGAAAAGCCCTGTGTCAAGGGACTGAACAACTCGATGAGAGATATACTTGTCTTCATCGCTGTATTGTGCATGCAGATGTGTGTTGTAAATGTTGATTATTAAATCGTGAAATTTGATTTTTGTCAGGGCGACTCCTTTACCGCCGAACCAGTCTGCATGCTGAATCATGTGGGGGTAACCGTTGAGAGGCCATTGATGGTAAAAGCCAGAAAGGATCTTGTGCCTGGACAAAAAAGTAAAATAATCGTCTTACAATCATAATATAATAATAAGAACATAACTAAATTTTTATAAAGCTTCCTCGAAATGAGGAGATTCCGAAATTAGGCCTTATCCCGTATGTTAATTCAAGAAAACGGGATTCCTCAGGGTTCGATTCTGAGTGTCACTTTATTTGCAATTTCAGTTAATGGTCTGGCTGATAAGATAGATGATCGTATAGTCAAGCCTTTGTATATTGATGATCTTTGCTTTTACTTGTCTGGAAAAAATCTCCAAAACACGGGAAGGACTTTACAAAATGCCATTGCACATTGTCACAACAAGCAGACGATGTAGGTTTCAAATTTTCTTGTCCAAAACAGTATTTGTACACTTTTGTAGACTGAGAAAACATCATGAACACCTCGCTTTTCCTTTCTGGCGTTGAAATAAAGGAAGTCGATGTTGTCAAATATTTGGGCGTTTCTTTCAACAAAGCCCTTCCATGGAAACCTTAAATAGCTCAATTGTCTAATTCAGGAAGGAAAATACTAGGTCTGATGAGATTCCTCGCTAATTATATTAGGGGAGCGAATAGAGATGTTCTTTTAGCAATATTCAGCATGTACTTAGGAGCACTTTAGATACAGAGCAGCAGGTTACTCTTCAGTGCGAATATCAACTTTAAAATCACTAGATAGGATTTATTTCCAAGGTATCAGGATTGAAACAGGGGCGTTTAGAACAAGCCTTTTATATAGTCTCCGCAATGATGCCGGTGTCCTTCCTCCGCATCTTTTCAGGGATGAGGCAATTCTTAGGTTTGTTGCTAGGTTTTTCATCCTCTTTTTCCTTCAGTTTTCTGTAACCCTCACCAAGATATGTATTCAATCCTAAGAACTAGGACGAGGCCTTTGGGATCCGTGGTACTGAAATGTTGAGATTAGGAGGGAATACCTTGCCGGCGGTTGAAGGTTTTAAATTGCTAGATATTCCATTGTGGTCATTACCTACTGCCATAATTATCGAAGATCTGGCCTTATTGAACAAAAAAGAAACACCATCTCTGATGATCAGGGAAGAATTCTTGCGAATTTTAAATAACTACCCCAATTATAAAGTTTTTTATACCGATGGCTTCAAAGATGAAATTGGTGTAGGGTGTGGGATATTTGCTGAGACATGTACACAGCTGAACTTCATGCAATCAGAAGAACATTGAGCATTAAAAAGGAATCGCAAGGAATTTGTAATGCCATTATTTGCGCTGATTCGAAGAATGGTCTCGAAGCCATCAAAAATAATTTCTCGGTTGACCCATACATCTTAGAAATTCACAAATATCTCGATGAAATCAAAGCACTTGTGGTATTCGTTTGGGTTCCTAGTAGCATTTCTGGAAAAAAGCTGATCAACAGGCAAGGAACGCTGAAAACCAACCACAAAGAGCAGATCAATTTCCTCTCTGCCAGATGATATAGACATTTATGTTAAAAACATTATCAAACAAAAGTGGGCGGCAAGATGGAATGTCTGTAGAGATAGAATGAAAGAAATTAAACCAGTTGTACATAAACTGTGCCAACTGAGGAACTTGAGAGAAAAGAACTTGTGGTTCTCTCTAGATTGTGATTAGGCTAATCCACAATAGGCTTTAAATAGGCAACAACCTTCCAACCATCCCCAGTGTTTGTTTTGAAGGGCACTTTTCAGCTTTCTTAAATTTATTGGAATTTATAAAGAGATGTAGGCCCAAATTTTCCCAAATTGTTATACCATTGAATGTTTGCCTGCTAGTGTTTGAATGAGACTGAATGCAAGCAAGATTTCTTTCTTTTTGCAGGAATTTTTGAGGCTGCTGGAGTGGAAAAATGAAATAGAAGAAAATACACATTGCAGAGTAATAAACTACAATGCCCAAAATTGCAATTTAAAAAAAAGAAAGATAGCCCCCCCTCAAAAAAAAAGAGGATAAAGAAAAAGAAGTGTTATTGTGTTTTTGTTTTTTATTATTGTTAAGTAGCATTAGTTTATTTGCCATATTTAAATGGAAGAATAAAAGGATAACGATGAGCCTATACTCATGTTGAGACTGTTGCTAGTCTGACTCCATTATTATTATTATTCCAAGTGTATCGCACAATAGCTCAAGTGATTAGAGAGCGGCTTATCAAGCCGAAGGTCGTGGGTTCGAATCCCTGGTGACACTAACTTTTTCATTTCAACCAATACCTTACATAAAAAGATTAATTACTTGAAAGAAGTTATTTGGTCAATCACATCATGAAATATAATGTATTTAATAAGTAAAGCTAAATATATCTTCACTAAGTGCTCTTCGTGGCCACTTCATATGTCGCAGAGAAATCGAATCCTGATTACACGACATTTGAAAAATGGCAAAAAGGAGGGGAAATTCAAAAGGTGTGGTTGAGATGGGAAGTTGGTGTCCGAGTGGATCGAAGTCACGACAACTCAAGTGGTTAGAACAGCGGCGTATTGAGCTGAAGGTCGTGGGTTCGAATCCCTCTCGTGACACTAACTTTTTCATTTCAACCGATACCTTACAAAAAAAGATTAATTAATTGAAAGAAATTATTTGGTCAATCAGACCACAAAATATAGCAGATATTATTAATAATATTGACCATACAAGCCTATGGGAAATGTTTAAATTATGGAACAAAAATTCGAAATTATAATTAAAGAACAGAAATCAGGAATAAATTTTATAATTTAAAATGAGAATTTTGCATACATTTGCCCTTCCAAATTAATAATTTTAAAAGTATAAATTAAAGCTTTGAATGGCAATTGAATAGATTAGTTTATGAGTGAATGTTTGGAATCGGAGCTTAACAGCACTCAGAAGGGATATAGCTAACCTAAGATAAAAGGTTTGGACGTTAGGGCGTGAAATTACCTTAGAAGTTAAAACACCCTTAAAAATTAAAAATCTTATTTAACTACAAAGAAAATCAACATCATTAATAACAACAATCATAATATGTATCGAACTGATTCTATATTTGATTAATTTACAATTTTGGTACAGTGGTTTCAGATGAAATACATGAAATGGTTGGATTGGATCAGGCCATATAACTTTTGAATGTGGATTTTGGTGGACATAAGTTCACACTGTGTTTCATTAAAGTGGGCATTTTTAAGTCATAAAAGCTGAAGAACAGGAGCAGGCAGCACTCCAAAATTGATACTTTTTTAAAAAAATAAAGACTACTTTTTAAAAGTGTGTTTGGTTGTCTCTGTCTATGGAATAGAGTAGATCAAAATTATAAAATATAAAAAATATTTGAAGCGTTTCACTCAATGAAATTGCAGTTAAACCTAAGAAAATGCCGATAAGTGTATTCCTAAGATGATTTTTATTTATACAATCCTTCCACCGAGAAAAATAATCATTGATACGATTTCTTTTGGGGTATTTGTAATTTGTGGTGTTTTACAGAATACCACAGTATGAAAAAATGGCATTTTAATCTGGACCCAGTAACTGGTTAAAAAAAGATTTTCTGTACAATCCTATCTTCCTTAGATAATCTTTGTTAAATTCTGCAGTGAAGAGTGGTTCACTACATTTTAAACTTCAAAAATTATTGGGGGGGGGTCCTTGACCAGGATGGGTGCATGCACATCATGGACAACACTAGCATTTACACCGAGGAATTTTATGCAATTTTGCACGATTGAGGTGATTCGAAATGGTAGCTCTGCCTACCTAGTTCACACCAAATCCTTCAGAGCAGTTACTGCTGTCTGTGACAGGTCCTCTGCAGACCCTGTCATTGTATTCTTGTTGGAAAATAATATGAGCTGGAGCATCTCAGCAAAACAATAGATTTTGTCTGCGTAGGTACCTGGACACAAAGGTCTGGAAGGTAACGAAAAGGCAGCTAAGGCTGGGATCTCCCAACATCTTGGCTTAATCACTATGACGCTAAGAATGCAATAAAAAAACATGATTAATAGAAAATGGCAGCGTCAGTGGGACAGATCGGTACAGCTCTTGTACCAAGAGCACTGTCAATAGGTGGCTGGAGGAGCACCTGACTCATACTTATTTTTGGGCCAATGCCCACATATGTGTAGAGAAAGATGGCTCGATGTGTCCCCCACCTAATTGAAGGGTGTACTCTCTTGACTCCACACAGAGAATGCAGGAGGAATGCCACCTGTTATAAGAATTCTGCTTGAGATTGTCAGCAAGTATCCTGGTCCCTTCTTCCAATACTTAAAGGAAACAGAGTTATTTAATGTGTAGTAATGATAGTTTTGTGTCCTTAGCATATGTTGAGTGGATGTGAATTGACGTATGAACTGTGAGACGGCCGAAAGCCGATGGAAACTGAATACCCAATCGACCACTTAGGCTAGTTATACAACAGATGAAAAGGAGGATAATACTGATTGCTCCAGCACCCTGAGTGAATGTTATGTGAAAAAATAGATAAGAATATATTTAAGGATGTCTGATTGGAAATGGAAAACTAATTGCGTTGGGGGCTAAAATGACCTAACTGTTGAACCTCGGCAGATGGACAGATAAGACTGAGGTCTGACCCCGGACAGCCTACACCTGGGTAGATGATTCTCGACGTCTGCCAGTAATTTATTGTAAATTTTAAAAGCTGGTTGACTGCAAGAAGTGATAGGCTCAACTGTGTACATGCGTGTGATTTGAACTTATACGAAACAGTAAGCGAGGACATAACGCCGTCCATAGCACGTGATCACATTTTTGTAAGCTGTTCATGCACAGAATTTGGAACCAGATGCATACTTTGATAGGACTGCAAGTCCGGATCCGAGCACTCCGCTGTAATAGTACTGCCTGTATCGGTATGCAGATGCCGTCAGATCGGCGAGCAGGTTGAAATCGTCGTCGAGCCAGAGTTCCTGGAAGCAGACTACGTCGATATTGAGTTTGTTGAGCTTCTGTGCCACTGCTTCCATCCGATCCTTCTTGTTCGGGGTGAGGACCCAGGGCAATCCCCAGACGTTGAGGGTTAAAATAGAAAAGTCCCATTCTTCCACCATAACCGTGTAAAAGAAACAAATATATGAAAAAATATGGCCAACGAGAAGGAACGAAACAACCTGCAACCGTATGTAAGTAGTGACTGACGTAGAGGAAAAGTTGTGACAGTGAGGAATCAGTCATGAGACTTGAGGATGAGCATCGATGGTCGATGTTTTGAACATCGATGTTGCTATGTTGTGCGAGTGAAGAATGAGACTTAGGGATGAGCATCGATGGTCGATGTTTAGAAAACACCGATGGTAGGCAACCGATGTTCGATATTTTCAACATCGATGTTGAATTATGTTGTGCGAGTGAAGAATGAGACTTAGGGATGAGCATCGATGGTCGATGTTTTCAACATCGATGTTGCTATGTTGTGCGAGTGAGGAATGAGACTTCGAACCCACGACCTTTTCGGCTCATACGCCGCTGCTCTAACCATTTGAGCTATCGTGACAAATCGTCATGGGTTCGAATCTCGCTCGTGACACTAATTTTTCATTTCAACCAAAAACATTAGATAAAAAGAATAATTAATTGTGATATTTATTGATTTATATTATATACGGATGAAAGATCTTTTTACAAATAATATAAATTACGAGCTTATAAACTATTTAAATAATAGATAAACAAAATTTATAAAATAACAAGAACAAAACAACAACAAGCATTAATAATGTTAACCAATAAATTTTATTTATATTTTTTTATATAATAATATAAATAAAAATGAAATAAAGATGAAAACTAAACAGTTTTTCAATTAATTAATCTTTTTATGTAAGGTTTTGGTTGAAATGAAAAAGTTCGTGCCACGAGCGGGATTCGAACCCACGACCTTCGGGCTAAATACCCCATGGCTCTACTACTTGAGTTATCGTGAACTCAAATCCTGCTTGTGGCACTTTTTCATTTCAACCAAAACCTTACATAAAAAGATTAATTAACTGAAAGAAGTAATAAAAGTAAACACTGAAAAATTCTTTATTTTTATTTTGGATTAAGTGTGTTTATCTCTAATTGATTCCAAATTTAAAATACAGCATAAACAAATATTTATGATACAAACAATTAGACAAATTAAGAGTAGAATTTTCTTTTAATGAGAAAATGAAAAAAATCAATTGGGTGGAATTTTTTGCTTGTCAGTGTAGTTGTATGTAAATCTATGTACCTGCAAATTATATTTGTAATTTTAAATTGCAGATTGTAATAAAATTTTAAATAAATCAATAAAAGTTTTATACACAAACTTTCATCATCAAGTCTAGTGGAGGTGTTATTTTAAATTTTTCAAAATGTGTTTGTAATCTATATCTTTTCCACTCTTTATATAAATTGGCTCTGTTGCATAATTCATCCAAAATTTCTGGAGTAAACCATGGTTCAAGGCTTTGAGCCATTTTAGCAAATATGACAATGCAAAATCCCTGTTTTTGAAAAGTTTAACATTTTCTTATTATCATAAGTAAAATAACTAACATTTGCCTTAAACGAATAACCAAGACAAAGAGAAATGGGAAGGACTAATAGAACAAAATCAACTTCAGGAGCAACAACCCTGACAGACAGTTATGATAAAATAATGGGAAAAAGGGTTGTGAATAAGAAAAATAACACACTTTATTTTATATTTGTTTAATAGTAAGTTTTTATGATTAGCATAATCTATTATCAAAACAGTGAAGTTAATGATAACACGTGATACATTGCTTTTCCAACAAAAGCCATTTTGTATTAATTAATGTAGAAAATACAAACCAGCTCATGCTACTGAAGTTCATCAATATAATTGTATACAATCACTTTATAATATAATAATTATTACAATAAACTTTACCAAAAAAAGATAAATATTCTTCAAAAAGAACTCGAGAAAAGCTCACGTTCCTCCTTACAACATATTTTGAAAAAACTGTTGTTTTTTTTTGGTTTTTTTTTTTAGTAGTTAGTATGTAGCTGTAGATAAATGGATTTCATTTTTTTTTCCTTCAAATTCTAAAGACCATTTTGGGGATTAAGGTTGAAAACAATAAACATAATTATAAAAATTTGAATATGTTTTGTTCTTAAAACAGGGGTTTTATTTTGTAAAAGGAAAAAATTATTTAATACTTCAACAAACAGTACCACCTAATCACTGTCGGCATTTGAAAATCTGTTATATTTTTGAAGACCGTTGTAGCGAACAACTTGGTCATTTGCCACTGGCTGAGCCTCCTGAAAAAAAAATGAACTCAATAAAACAAAAATATATTACAACTAACCAAAACAGAAAACTTACTGGCTTTTTGTAATCCGTAGCAAGGAGAGCGAGCAGAGGACAGTAAAGCAAGTTGATAATGCCAATGCATCTCATGAGCCAAGGAAAGCCCATCAAGTGTGCCAGCTCTCCTCCTAGCATTGGGCCTGAAAATTAAATAAAAGTTAGTTACATTTAAATTTAGAAGGGCCATGATTTTAAATTGACCTTATTGGTCTTTGTTTTGTTTTTTTAATACAGCAATTAGTCTAGTATAATACTTCAAATCTTTTTGAATCAGTATCCAATAAATATTATCTGTTCTATTTTGTATTCATAAATGAAATTGTTTATAGATTAAAGTGTGTTTAAGAGTGATAGGTTTCAAAAGTAAATTACAGAATTGATCAATATAATTCAATTTTATACAAAGTTAATGTATTTTATTGTCGTACCTAATGCATATGCTAATGCTACAGCTGTTTGTTGCAAAGCATACACAACAGCATAGTTTGCGGAGTGCCTTGAATCGACAAGTGTTGCCAGGAGAGGCACGAGTGCTGCATCGATCACTCCTATGCCAAGGCCGACACCTAGATGTGGTAGAATCAAGCCTTCCATGGTCGAAGCCGTGGGAATCTGAAATGACTAACATTAAATATGATCTTTGCATTGTGCAGATGCACCCCCTACCAAAATGGCCGATATAGCAACTAGCAGCATGGCACCAATCGCCACTCGCCAACCACCGAGTTTGTAAGCAATAGCACCAAAGAAGTTGGTGCCAATGAGGTATCCAATGCTGTCTGGTATGAATACAGTGCCAAGCTCCCATTTCTGAAAAAGTTCCCAGATGCGCAGACGATTAGTAATGTACAGCTCTTCTTGAAAACTGTGTTTAGCATTTTTATGGTACCAAGGGGATGGAGTCATTGGGATGAATTAAAAGTTTGAACTGACTCTAACTTAGGTAAATATGCTACAGATTTCCAGTCTGAAATCATAGTGATTGGACACTGCGCCAGGGAAATAAAAAGGTTAGGAATACATTCCTGGAAGATAGCCATCTTCTCTGAAAGTCAGGCTGCACAAAAGGCCCTAGCCTCTGGCGGAAGTCAGTGACACCAATCACCTGATCCTGGTATGAATCCCTGGGCATTCGGGGCAATCAGGAAAATGAAAAGGTTGACATGTTGGCCAAAGAGGGAGCATAACATAAGAAAACATAAGAAGGACATGAAGATTTACCATACTCTCTAGATCCTGAACTCTACTGTGGCCTGGCATCTTTCAACAAAAAAGGTTACAACAAAAAATCAGTGTCAAAATTACAATCAAAATGAGCAGACAACATTCGTGCTGGCCTGCAGAAGCATTCCTTTCCTTTTGCCCATTTTTTTTTCTTTTCTGTTTACTCTCCATCGTTTCTTTGAGACTGAGAGCCGCATTACATGTCTGCGCTAACCCACTTCATGAGCTATTTCTAGTATTCATTTATTATCTGTGGAATCTGCCAACATCATGGAACATCTCGTCATTCCAGCATCCATCTTTTGGCCCCAACTTTTCCATCTCCATCCAGCCTGCATCATCTTGGACACTAACACCCGAAACACTGGGTCAGATTGTTCCTTTTTTTTGTATATATTTATTAATCATGTTAATATCTCCTTTTAGTTTGACATTATTAATTTTTTACAATTAATTAAGGTTTTCAGTTGAGACAAAAAGTCAATGGCACGAGTGGGATTCGAACCCACGATCTTCGGCTAGATACGCCGCTGCTCTATCACTTACACATCATATGTTGAAGATATGCAGAATCCTCACACTGCCAATGGTTTTTGTATTGGGTTTATTAAAGATAATTTCCACTGGATGGGGAAATAGGTTGTGTGAAATATTGCATTGTAAATAGATGTACACTATTGGTTTTTTTTTTAGGTAGATTTTGTTGGATTTTAGGGGTAATAAGATTGTGGCCTGGGATATCCTTTTGGAAAGACAGAGAACTGAGACTTAGAGGGTAGAGCTGAGAGGGAGAGAGAAATCAAGGAAATCAGTGATATGATCTGAGTGTGAAATGACATTCAGATCGGGATGAGGAGTAAAATCTGTGTAAAGATGGTTGGAAAGGAGATGGCACTTTTCTGCGTTTGACCCGGCTCAGATGGTAGGTAGGTTTCAAGGTTATAAGTGAACGGATATGTTATGAGAGTTAACTGAGAAAATAAACAAGAAATTAATGGTATTTTATTTTACATAAAAATTAAATTTAAAAAAAACAACACCTTTTATAATATATACATAATAGAATTTTAACGCTTTCCAGATTTCTTTTTTTTCTTTTGCTGTATTTTTCTCTGTTGTTGCCTTGGTCCTTCTTGAGGAGGGCTGGGTGTGTTTTGAGCCAATTTGGAGGCATTGGCCATCTTAGACATGTCGTATTGGTCTGAAGCTCCTGCTGCAGTGCCCTGAGTTCCTTTCCCTACATCTTTATTCCGCCTGTCTTTCTTTTTCCTAAATGTTGACCTTTCGTGTTTGGGCAACCAACGTTCAGGGTCAGGGGTGACGTTTGGATTGTAGTTCTTCGGAAGGTGCTTTTTACGTTTAGAGTGGGATTTTTTCTTTTTGACAAGTGGTGTTCCAGGAGAAGGATCAACCTTAGCAGCTTTTTTGATCACTTTCATGCCCATCATCCAACTGGTGGATTCAAGAGTGTCAGCATCAATGTTGGGTGTGAGATCAACCAGGTGAGGAAGCTTGTTGCTCATGTTATTCGCCTTAGTTGGGTCAAACTGAGCATAAGCTATTATTAATTGAGCAAGTGTCATGACGTCATTGGAATTGATTTTCAGAAGTTCTTCTAGACTTGATGCTGCAATTTCAGGTTGGCCGTTTCTAAGATGTAAATCAGCAGCATGTCTCCAAAGAGCACTCAGGTCACCGACAGTTGTTTTATTTTTCTGGTTCCACGAAACAGCCTTTTCCAAAATTTTTGATGCGTCCTGCGGCTTCCCCATTTCTAAATACATTGTTACAATAGCACTGACAATACCAGGCCAAAATGTTGCGTCTCCCAAGGACTCCAATACTTTTACAGCTTCTAAAACTTTAGAATCATTTAGTAGCAACTGAACAATGGCCAACTTCATTTTTAGTTTGCTTGAAGGGTTCTTTTTTCCATGTGATTCTAAAAGATTTATAGACTCTGGGACTCTGTTTTCTCTGGCAAAAATAGAAGCTTTCATAAGCACTGCATTCTCTTCCATCCCTGGATGTTTTTTAACTAAATTGTCACATATTGCCAATGCCTGTTCACCTTGGTTTGTGTACATATTAAGCAAGCAATGGTTCATGTCTATGACCTGTTTTTGTGACCGTGTCAACTTAGGAAGGACAGAATCATTCATGATATTCTTCATTTTCTTTTTAGAGTCAAACAAATTCTGACCCCTGTTGATGGCAATACTGTTGTTACTAGCTACAGCAACAACAGCCAAGTCAGAAGGCTTTTTCTTTAGCATTGACGTGTATATAGATAATGCCTCTTTCTCATGTCCCTGAAAGTGTGCACAACAAGCCTGCTGTAGTTTAATGATACTGACCTCATCATCCACCTCTTCGACAGGTGTATCCTCATCAAACGACTCCCTGCAAATTTTCTCAGAAATCTTCAGTGTTTTTTCTGCCTCAGCATACATGCATTTCGCCATCTGGTAGCATGCGAAATTATATTTTATTTCAAACGTGTCACACTCAAATTCAGGCATTTCCATTGGCTTTCCAGAGAGGACGAGATTCACCACTATAGCAGCAAGGTTTGTTTGCCTTTCCTCATCAAATTCATCATTGGTTTGTTTAATTACATCTCTGTAAAGGTCAAAGCACTCTTCAAACCTTTCTAGTCTATAATAAACTTGGGCTTTGAGCTCATTATGTTTAATATCAGGATCTTGCACAGTCTCAAGCACTTCAAGTGCCTCCTCAATCCTGAAAAAAATTACATAATAATATAATATTATAATAATATAATAAACCAGCAATGAGCTGAGAATTAACTTATGGAGATAATAATAATAAAAAATGTTCGTCAGAGTTTTAACTGTAGAAGGATCATTCTAACGTGACAGAATCAGCTATATATGGTTATCATACTGACCCTACGCATATGTTTGGCACATGGACTTGATTGAAGTGATTGGCTTAAACCAAATAATTAACCTGCTAAGTTTATTTAGTTTTTCTTCATGATGAGCCAACATTCTCTGTTAATATTATTATAATTCTAATGGGGAAATGTATTATATGCGAGTCACGCTTATGCTTGCTATATACTCCATCCCAATCTAAATATAATTTCTACATTTTGGTAAAATTGTTTTACTCAGGTTTAATTTTTTAATTAATTTATTTTATTTAAATATCTTATATTTTTCTTTACAAACATCCAGCAAACCACAAAAAATAAAAATTATAATGATTGCAATTATTTAATAAAAAAACAAATTAAAAAAATTAAAAATTCAAAAAAGAGGGTGGCCACTTTTTTACCTCTCAGTGTATTTAAGAATGAGAATGAGATTGTGAATGTTTAAAGTTTGCTGAATGACTGAGCTTTCATTAGCCCTAGATCGGGGGTTCCCAAACTATGGCCAACCCTGACTAGGAGGTCATGGCAAACTTCAAGAAAAATTAATAATTACAAAAATAAATATAGAATCAATAAATAAAATTTAAAAAAATAATAACAATGAGTAGTGAAAATGAATGTTTTTTTGTTTTTTTTTCGCAACAGCAGTCATTGTGTTTTTCACAGACGTGCTTTAGCTATTAAACAAATGCCAGCCTCTTTTAAGAATGTTTTGAATGAGTTTGTTCAAATTATTAATTATATTAAGTCGCTGCTATTGAAATCAAGATTTTGATCTTTATCGAGATCAACTTCAGGGCCATTTTTTCAAGAGAACAAAGAACAACATGGGATTCTATGAACATATATCAATTATACATGGACAAAAAGCAAAGAGGATCTGAAGGACATCGCTGTCAATGAAAAGAAATCTGCAATTAATCAGTTGAAATGTAGGCAAAACAAGGCCCTGAAGATGATCTCAATAAAGATCGAAACGTTAGCACGATAAAGAAAACATTTTTTTTTAAACCTACATCACATAAGACCGCATCTCACGATCTTTAAATAATAACTATTTATATTTAAATGCAGCTAAATGCTTAGTCATTTCCTTTAATCATTCTTCAAACACCATCCTACATAATTATTCTCACAATAATACCACACTAAGCAGAGGATCTTGTATCAAAGACTTTGGTATCTTGTTTGACAGGTTGCAATGTAAGGAGCTTATTATTAGTGTTAACAAAAAAGCTATTAAAATTATGGGTTTTGTTTCTCGTAACTTTCATAATCCCAATTCATCATTGACATTGTACAAAATTCTCATTTGTCCTCTATTCTTGAATTTATCGTCAACTATAATTTACTTATTAATTTACAGTTTCCCATTTACAAATGGAGACAATAAAAGTATTGAGGTTATAACTGTACATAAATTTAGAAATATTTATAATAATAAGAAAAAAAAACAATAAAACAAACAATTTAGAAGGAATAGAAACAATTTGAAAATGTATTAACACTATATAATTATCAATTATTAATGATATTCAAATTCAATATTAATTATATTAATGTTACAATATTTAATTTTCTAACAATAAAATCTGATTAAACTGGCATTAAATATATTTTCGAACGAGTTTAACAATTTTTTATTCTTGTTATAAAACTGAATTTGGAATAATTAGTTCTAAGGCAATCGGTGGAGAATTTGTTGTTTGACTTCTGGAATGATAAGATGGAACATGAAAGTTAATTCGGTTAATGGATAATCAATTAAGAAACGTTTTAATTTATACAATAATATATAATCAAAGCAATTCCTTCTGTACTGAACAGTCGTCAATTTCAGATCTGTCATTACTGATGATTATGGTATTCTACAATTATTCTGTAATGTATCAGGTGTAAAAACTTTTTTTGAACTGCTTCTATGCGAATGATATGAGATATCAATATCTCACTGGCACTCTCAACATGACACACAAAAATGACCCATCTACACAGAAAACAAACACTTTGAGTGAGTATAATACTTTGATTGAGTCTAAAATTTCTATTATTGTATAAATTCATTTTTTCACATCTTACATGTATTTGCATAATTTAAACAATGTTTCTAAATCCCAGGCCCTGAAGATGATCTCAATGAAGATCGAAATGTTGGCACAATAAAGAAAATGTTTTTCTAAGCCCACGTCAGACCTAAGACCGCATCTCACGATCTCCGAATATTTATATATAATCTTTATACATAATTTATAACTATGTACATATAAGTTATTTAAACTTTGTTATCTGTCAAATTGGTACTCAAAGTAGTCTTATATAATTGAAAATCATTAATCATGAGTCAAAAGTGATAGCGGGTTTTTTTAAAATCAGTTTTTACCCACAAACGCAGTAGAAGGCAAAACAAAAGAAAAAATGATTATATTGTTAAGGTTGTAGAAAGTTATAAAGCCCAAGGTCAATCGCACTTCTAATATAATTAAAAAAGAATAAAGTTGCAATCTGTATGTAAAAACAATTAAATACACTATTATCTATCTATAACAGACGATAGCATCTTTAATAATTCTTCATGAATAACAGTCATTGTAGATAGATTTATACATTTTAAGAGTTTATTTGGAGATGTGAGTTGCAGTCTGGTATGATATAGGTTTAGAAAAAACATTTTCATTATCGTGCCTATGTTTCAATCTTTATTGAGATCATCTTCAGAGCATGGGATTTATAAACATTGTTTAAATTTTACAAATACATGTAAGATGTGGAAAAAAATGAATTTATACAATGCTAAAATTTTTAGACTAAATCAAAGTATTTGTACTCACTCAAAGTGTGTTTTTTGTGTAGATGTGTCATTATCTTGTCGTGTTGGGAGTGCCAGTCAGATATTGTGAGATATCAATATCTCACTGGCACTCTCAAAACGACACACAAACGTTACATATCTATACAGAAAACACACACTTTGAGTGAGTACAAATACTATGATTAAACCTAAAATTTTTATACTGTGTACATCACTGAATAAATTCATTAATTAAATTATACAAATACATGTAGGATGTGAAAAAGGTGAATTTGTATAATGCTAAATTTTTTAGACTCAATCAAAGTATTTGTACTCACTCAAAGTGTTTGTTTTCTGTGTAGATGTGTCATTATCGTATCATGTTGGGACTGCCAGTTTGATATTGATATCTCACTGGCACTCTCAACACGACACACAACCGTTACATATCTATACAGAAAACACATACTTTGAGTGAGTACAAATACTATGATTAAACCTAAAATTTTTATACTGTGTACATCACTGAATAAATTCATTAATTAAATTATACAAAAAAAATGTAGGATGTGAAAAAAGAGAATTTGTACAATGCTAATTTTTTAGACTCAATCAAAGTATTTGTACTCACTCAAAATGTTTGTTTTCTATGTAGATGTTTGATTATTGTGTGTCGTGTTGAGAGTGCCAGTGAGATATTGATATTTTATGTTTATATACGTTGGGTTTTGAACACCAGACCCATCTCACTGTTTGTTTTCTGTGTTACACCATACATTTTAAGAGGGTTGATATTCATAAATGTAAGGCGTTGATGACTTTAAAGAATAAAAGCTAGAGAAATGATTGGCAGAGCGATTGGAAATTGAAAGCATATCAGAGGCCTCTGGATTATTTAGAAACATTTTATCAGGACAAAATAATTGAAATTATAGTAATTAATAAATAATAATAATAATAAATATATGTATGTCTAACCTGTTGATCCTATAAAGGGCGTAGGCCTTCTCGAACTGTAAGGTCTTGGCGAAGCTGGGGAACTTAGTGAAAGCGAGAAGGGCGTCCTCGAACCTCGACAGCTGGATCAGTGAGATAATCCTGAACTGAAACGCTTTTTCGTCCTCGTGGTTCGAATGAAGGATTTTGTTGGCGATCTTCAGAGTCCGCTCGTAGTCGCTGATCTGGCCGAACTTTTGCAGATCAGCGTAAAGATTGGTGCGAATCGTTTCAGCAGTGGTTGCCATTTTTCAGACAGGTACAGCTACAGCGATTGACATACGCGTATTCATAACAGAAACGCCAATCGGCTGGAAACGAGGAAGGTTTCCACTTTTATCAGCCAACTCACAACTGCGCAGTGCTGCCAGGACCGATAACGATTTTTCCCAAGCGAGCCAAATAAAAATACATTTATTTCTACAAAATATTCCCATACTTTGTCATTTAGAAACTCATTTTGTTTAAATATTCTCCGTTTAATTTTTACCGAACTCGTTTTTACTGTTTATTCAAAATCTGGAAAGGCTCCCTAGGCGAGTGGGCGACAGCCCAGGAACTCCCCGACAGCACCCAGGACACCCTTTCATAACCACCACCCGACGGGCACCCAAACCGCATCCCAAGACACCTCCCAACATTGAGTAAAATACAGATTATTGCATATAATGAATATTCTTTTGTATTAAATTATTTTATCATTTTATCTTCATATTTCAGAAAGTAGTTTAGTTTTTTTTAAGGAAAGTTAGTAGTTTGTCTATTTGGTCGGAGTCATCACCAAGCGAGTCTTTGATGTTGGTTGGAATTTCCAGCCAATGTTTTTCACCTTCATATTTTTGCAATTTGTCAAAATGTGTGTAACCGTTAGCACATAGGCCTTATCAAACGTTTAGTTTCTCAAGTTAGGAGCGATTCATGGTAGATAGTGTGAACACCGTGAGGTTCGGTGCAGAAGCCGTACGGCTCCTCTGAGGGAAAATTACGAAGTACAGTTCAGAGCAATTCGCGTTTTGTTGGGATTAATGATGTCAACACCCTCCTCAGTCCTCTTGGTAGAAGCGTTAACTCGACCACTCGCCATTTGAAGAGATTCCCTCACATGTGATGTACATAGAAGGAGCTTTAAGCCTATCCCTCACATGTAAATACTTAATGGCTAGCTCGTGTGATTTCTCTTGAGTCGGCCCTGCATCATCTTCTATTAGCTTTTGCTCGACGTAATAGAACGGTTTCGAAGTTTTTTCATTGGTTTTTCAACCTAAAGCACTTAGCCCTTAGATGAGGCTATCAAGTTTCACGGGACAGAGATGACGCAAAAAGTAAATTAGTCTTATTCAATATCAAGGTGTCTTTGGCAGATTCAGCGGATAAATCGGACAATATTAGATGTGCTGTAGGGGTAGGATTCTATTGTCAGAACATTTTGATTATTCATACGGACAGATCAAAAACTATCGATTGTGTTTGAGCAGCATTCTTGGACGTCTCTAAACTCTTCCAAATACCAGGTGTGCGCTCAATATTTACAGCCGAAGCTATAGCCATCCGCGTTTCTATATGCATGCCATCATGAATGTCAGGAGTTAGTGATTTTGCCCGATTGCCAAAGGGACATTTAGATAGATAGATAGATAGATGTAATAATTCAGGGTATGGTATACTGCGCCCTTTAAGAGCTATTGTATCCCCTGTGCTCTGCNTTGGTGATAGGAGTCTATTTAGTGAGGAGTGGTTAGGAAAGTGAGTACCTCACTTGGGGATAGGACACCAGAGCCCCTTTAGCCTTTTCGCACCGTACCATGCCGTGGGGATCAGTGTGAATCCCCCCGTCAGGACGGCGACGAACGTTTCCCGGGGTTCACTACTTGGAAGCGGGGTTGGTCTTTGAACCCCAAAGGGACATTTATTCACTGAAATGCACCAAACGACCTCGAAACCAGATTCTACAAGACATCCGTAAACTCGCTTTGACTATTAAGGAAAAAGGGGACTGACGTATACTTTGCATGGGTTAAAGGACATAGTATCAACCGTTTTAATGCCAAAGTTGATAACAGCAAATACAGCCCGGAATGTGAGGGGGAAAGAAAATATCACAACGGAAGCTGATTTGTTTACTCACGTAAATCAAATTTTTAAAATAAGGTGGCCACTGACATATGACAAATTGAAAACTAATAAGAAGCATATTACGGAGAGATCCAAATCAAGGATACCCTCCATACCGTGGTTCTGGAAGATAAACCACCCTCATCGATTCTTTTATACCATATGCAGGCTCCGTTTTAGCCACAATCGATTATCGTAACACTTGCAGAAAATAGGATTAGTTGTCAGAAACATCTGCCCATGCGATCATTGTTCTGTAACCGATGCCGACCACGTCTTCCTATTTTATATAACATCATGCTCTTCCGCCTCGCAGGCAGACGAGAGTTGCTCGAGGTGGTTGTGCAGCATAGCATACCGTTCCTAAAAGATGCCGCTGTTGCTTAGATTGACATCAAATCTTGAATTGTTCGATGCCATGTTAAACATGTGTCTTGAAAATTACATCCTTATTTAGAGTGACAAAGTGACGACGTAAAATTATGAACCACAGACAAATTAAATAGTTTACCGATAGAGTTCCTCTGACATCAGAAAGTACAAGGCAAATGCTCATAAAGGCAAGAAAAAAAGTTATAACACTCAACTTTAACCTAATAAAAGATAACAAAAAAACCGTAATTTGTTTATTGTCTATTTTTTATTGGGTTTTGTTTGATTTTTACGTTGATGTTTCTTTTTCGTTTTTTTTTGTGCTTTTTTATTAGGTTAGAGTTGGGTTTTACAACTACTGTATTGTTCTTTTTTTGGTGTATGTTTATTGTAGATATTTTGCCTAATTTTTCTGCTTTGGTTGTTCACTATGTTTATTGTATCTTTTTTTATGTGTTTCATTTCATTTTTCTTTCTTTTTGTGCTTTTTAGTAAAGTTAAAGTTAGGAAATAAATTTTGCATAGGGCAAAAATTTGAAATAATGTGTCCAATCGTCAGATAAGTTCTCACATCAATAACTGTCGATAAGTGGTCCTCGGAGGGCTTGACCCGCTGAAGAAGTGTCATCCTAACCCGATTAAGAATAAGCCATGATACACATAATCATGATTTTACACACTTTTCAGACTGGCTTTAAACATTTACCTACCTCTGGTTTTATAGTTGTCATCAACCATAAAGGAAGACAGGGTTCCAAAATGGCCATTACCGAGGTCGACAGCCAAATGGCACCGGCGGTCAGCATGACTAATCCATCGCTCATCAGCTTCTTCCAACTAGTCTTTCCACAGCAACTCTTATTTTGTGAAATAAAACTTAAATAGCTTCAAAATACATAATTTTATATTTTCCTATTAACTGCTTACCTGGGAAGGCAGTTTCAAATCCAAAAATGTAAGTTGGAGACCTGAAAGCAAAAGTGTTGAGAACTACCTTTTTAAAAAGTGTGGTCCTGATAAATGGAATCGCCCAATCTATTTATTGTAAAAATCTTCAAGAGTAATTTTAACGCAGCATACTATAAACATTTTCTGCTTTCTTGTCGATCTCATAAATCCTTTATTTTATTACGCGGACCAATAAAAATAGTACTTTCTTTAAATTGCTACTAGAATTTTGAAAGAATCGGTTTTTTAAACTGTCGACATGGCCTCTATTCAATGATTACTTTTTTAAAAAGTTTTAATAGTTAATTTTGTCGTTATATTTCGTGGTCCGATTGACCAAATAACTTCTTTCAATTAATTATGTAATTAATTTATGTAAGGTATTGGTCGAAATGAAAATGTTAGTGTCACGAGCGGGATTCGAACCCACGACCTTCTGCTAAATACACCGCTGCTCTATCACTTGAGCTATTGTGACTTCGATCCACTCGGTCACCAAATTCCCATCACCCCAAAAAGGAGGGAAAATTCGAAAGGTAAGTTTGAGATGGGTATTTTGAGTATTTAGCCGAAGGTCGTGGGTTCGAATCCCGCTCGTGACACTAACTTTTTCACTTCAACCAATACCTAACATAATGATTAAGTAAATTTTGTGTTTAGTTTAAATGCTAAAATAGAAGCAGGGCTGTTTATAAAATAAGTACAAGTGAATTGTAAAATAAAAAGAAATAATCATGATCATTGGACAATTGCAATTCAAAATCATAATCCCAATAAACAAGTTATTCTGAACAATAATAATAATAATAAAATTTAAAAAAAAAAAAAAACATACTCTAGGTGAAGATGACATTAAGCTATCATTTTCTGATTCTAGGGCTACAGGGTGAACTGGAGGAAAAGAGATTTTTAATTAATTTAAATTAAAAAGAAATAAATTAAGTTTTCATCAAAATGGATAAAAAATGGCTGTATTTGAACAATGCACGTACACCAACAAGAAAACATGAAAAATCAACCAATCAGCTCTGTCAGAAAGATGAATTTGTTTCCATACTCACCAACGTCGACTACTGAGAGAAAAGCAATACCCAAGAAGGGTGCCGTCTTTCCGACGAAGTCATACAAAAAGCCACCGAATGGATATCCGAGGAGGACGCCGAGGGCGACCGAGCCCAAGACGATGCCCATGAGCCGGCTCCTCTCCTTCTCCACAGGGTAGTATTCCGCCACAAGGCACATCCCTGCAAATGGCAATGCAGGAAATGCTCAAATTCAATATAAATTCGCTTTTATACCTGCCACGCCGATACACGCCGAAGCCAGACCTTGCAGACTCCTGGCCATGAATAGGGATAAGTAACTTTCCCCGAAAGCGAATACTAAAAATTGGTGAATTACATGAACGATCGAAGACGAGAATAATGCACCAAGTGAACAAAACATAATACCAAAAAATAAAAATATTTTCTTTAATATCTAAATACATAAATATATTTTACATTAAAACTGAACTGAAAATGAAACTATTGTTAAGTCAACTACATTACCACCTACTTAGCAACTACACTCACAAAATTATGTTAACATTGTTAAGGACCTCGGCATCTTGTTTGACCAACAGTTAACGTTCATAAACCATATTTTAAGTTTCACTGCTGAAGCTCTAAAACTTCTCCACTTTACAATTCGTTTTTCTAAAGATTTTCGGAATATTCAGATTTTAAAATATATTTCTTTAGTCTGACCCTTCATTGAATTCTCTTCTGTAGAATTCACTAATTTCGTGGTCCGCTTGACCAATTAATATCTTAATAATATCTCTTCTGTAGGTCGGCCGCCACATTATCAATATCTAAAACATTTTCTTGAACGTATTCAGCATAGATTTCTTAGATATGTTCATTGAGTTTTATTTCACAATGTTGCTGTAAATTATTTAATAATTCTAAATGCATTAGACACACTTGAAATCAAACGTTCAAGTTGATATTATATTTCTCCATAAATTATTTAATGATCAGATAAAGTTTTCAGAACTTCTCAATTTAATTAACTTTAACATTCCATCTCTTAAACCCAACAAACTTTCATCTTAGCCTACAATAGGAACAATTATACTTTTCATTCTCCAATCAACTGAGTTCAGAGACAACCCAACTCAACATATTATTATTATTATTTATTATTTTTTACTTTTTTTTCGTGAGTTTGCAATAGTAAAGGTCACATCGACCCTCGGAGAGTTGGTGTTTTAGAAAAAGAAAAAAAAACGCATTTCTAATATGTCTGGTTCGAATGCAGGGCAGCTGGATTCGAACCCGGGACCTTTACCTTAAAGTGACGAGCGCCATGTCAACGCCTAAACCATTGACATCGATTTTTTTAATGATAAAATTACATAACTAAAAAACAATTTAAATTCCATTTCAAAATTGTATCTAGTAATAGTTACTTTTTTTGGAGAAAAATTATGCAGGGTACATCAGGCCCAGTTCAGCTTCAAAATTTCAAATAAGACCCTATACATCCTGACTGATGATTTTAAAGCATTTTTTACGCTGAAAACAATGGTGCATTCGGATTTTAAATTGGTCAAAAAATGACAAAGTTATGGCAAAAAGTTTGGAAAAAAAGTCATTTGGTTTGGTATTAATTAATCACATTTCATGTTCGAACTGCCGGCTTTGCAAAATTTCCTCTTTTAAACCACTTTTCACCGATGCTCAGAGCGATTGAGTGAGGGGAGATGGATTGACAAGCAATTTTTATCCTTTGCCGCAGTTCTCCAACTGAGGTTGCTGGGTTATGATTGGCGTAGACACTGTTTTTTTAAAGGTCCCACTGAAAATAGTCAAGTGGAGTTAAATCGGATGACCGAAGTGGTCAACAGATCAGCCCATGAGGCCCTATCCACCTATCCCGGAAGTGACGATTCACATAACGTTTCACCTGCAAAGAATTGTATGCGGGACATCCATCAAGCTGGAGAATCATTATTTGTCATTGTTGCAGAGGAACATCATCTAATAGTGTTGGTAAAACCTCCCTCAGAAAATTAAGGAACTGAACACCCTTTAAATGATTTTCGTAGAAACAAGGCCCAATTAATACATTTTCGGGAGGTCCACACCAAACGTTGATACTGTGAACCACCTGATGATGACATGAGTACGAAATTATCTGCTCCGTTCGAAAATTCCAAAAGTTTAGTACGGTATTGGAGATGAATGTGGGTGCATCATCCATAGGATGATGTGTGGAAGAAACAAATCGACATTTGTGAAAGGAACGCCATCATAACGTCATAATCAGAGTTCCGAAATCCCTCGATGCGATTAAAATCGTAAGTCCGGAATACATCTCTAATTTTATTTTTTGAAAAACGCAAAACCGTTCCAACATTTCGGAGCGAGGAATTCGGATTTTCGCGGACATACAGTAAAATATTCAACTCGTCAAAATTACGATGCCTGTTTCTTTTTGCCTTAACTTTGTCATTTTTTGACCAATTTCAAATCCAATTGCACCATTGTTTGCAGCGTAAAAATCCTTTAAAATGATGTCTAAGGATGTACAGAGTCGTATTTGAAATTTTGATGTTTAACTGGGCCTGAGTTACTTTGCATAATTTTTCTCCAAAAAAAAGGTAAAAATTCGAAACTAGACTAAAAAGTATTAAACACGTATTTTTTGATAGAGCCATTGGTGCAAAAGAAATTCAGCCGGGTCATGTAAAAAGCACATCCTGTTTATGTGTTCTTATGTATTTACTTATTACCTATATTTCAATTTTATTTTATGTATACCTTGTTTTTCTGTGTTATGAGTCTTCCAAGCCTGTTTGTAATAAAAAAAAGCCCAAAAGAGCAAATATTTTAACTAAAAGTATTCGGGTCTCTAAACAATTTCCAAGTCAACAATATTTACAAAGTTGTAAATTTTATGCGAAAATCTATTCCGTTTGGGTTGCATTTAATGATAATTCTGTACCATACTTTACAACTAGCTTTGTGTCTGTGGAACTTTGTATCGATTAAAAATAAAAACAATTCGAATTTATTCTAAAGTTAGTCGATGGCTGTTTGCATAATTAATTAGATTGTAATGTCGATGTTGTATCAAATCGCGTTTGTAAGTAAAGCCGATGGACGAAAATCAAAACTAGTTTCGAACTTGGAATTAAACCCTAAAAACTTACAAAGTTAATCCATATATGTATTTAGTAGTCATAATTCAACGTATTAATTATTCTTTTTATCTAAGATCTTGATTGAGATGAAAAGCTACTGTCATGGGAGGGATTCGAACTGACGAAGTCGCGATAGCTCAAGTGGTTAGAGCGGTGGCGTATTGAGCCGAAGGTCATGGGTTCGAATCCTGCCCATGACTTTAGTTTTTCATCTCAACCAAGACCTTAGATAAAAACTTGCTAAGTTACTTTTCTTTTTTCGTTAATATTTGCTAATCTAAATAGATTCTAAATTGGTAATGTACATTAAGAGGTAGTAAAAGACCAAATGGATGAATAATTTAGACAAAATATCTTACATAAGGAAGAAGTAAGGAGATTGACCGATCCGACGAAAAGTGGAAGTGTGTAGCCAACCGACCTTAAAACAAAATAATTTGGATATAATTTCGAAAGTTTGACAATATGTATATGGTCTACTTTGCAGCGAAGCCGACGATCGGGTTTACGACCAGCTGCACCACGGCTTTCGACGACAGAAGCAGACCGACTCTGGAGTTTTCCTCTCCGAGAGCTTCTTCGTATAAAGCCAACGTTCTGGAAAGAAATTTTAAGATGAATACGGGCTGAAACAAATTCTGTTGTTTAGTCGTCTCCAATCATCCTGGTCTGTCTTGCCTCGCTGAGTTTTTCTTGTCGTGTGACAAGTCTGGCCGATCAACAAATGAACATAGGAAAATGGAAACAGGAAAAAAGGAAGGGTAGCGTATCAAGATGATCGGAGACGACCGAATTACACGATCATCACAATAATTTCAATAAAATATCTCACAATGAATACCTGTTTTGACTCAAACCTGTTCTCGACTCAGCTTCGACAGTTATCAAGTAATCCGGGACAATCGGAACTGAAACAAGTACATACATACAGGAAAAAGCTTTCGTACGAATAGAACAAAAAAACTTCTGTAGGATCAGGATGCAACTGTGCTGTTTTGCTGACAGATAGATTTCCCTTTATTCTAAACAAATATGGCACAGTGACGGTAGAACCTCGCCACCAATCACTACGAGATCAACCAATCACTATAATAATAACAAGAGGGCTACCAGGTTGGTAGGTCTGGGATTTGGACCATAGGTTTTGTGGTGATTCTACACTCCAAAATATCGGACACAGTATCCGCCAATTCTGAATGAATAGGCCCTAGTTTCGCCAAAAATTATTTTTTGAAAGTTAAAATTTTACGTGTTTTTAATATTTTTATTTCCCCTTTCTACTTGCTCAAATCAACTATGTGAATATACCATTTCCAGCATTTTACAATCAATCAATAACTAAAAAACTTCTAAATACTAAATATTTTTGAAGTAAACTAGGTCATAATTTTTTTTTGTGAAACTAATATGGAATTTCGTTTTAGCACCTCTACAGAATCCCGATTATCAGTTTTTGTTTGAATTTAAATTAATACATTTTTTGACCTCTAAAATTTTTCCGATTTTTGAGAAGTCAATATCGGAATATCTTATTGAAATGGCTTTAATTTAAAAACGGCTAAAAGGTTTTTAACGTGAAACAGACATTTGAAAGAAGTGGTACATAGTTTTTTAACGACGTATGTACCATTAAAATATTTAAAATATTTCTATAAGAATATACACAAATGGCTAAATTTGGTGTTACCCTGCGGCCACGTTGGAAAAGAAAGAGTTAATACCCTCCGAATTGTATATCTCTTATAGCAGAAATATCCAGTGATGGACAAATTTAACGCCAGTAAATTTATTTAGTTTAAAATTAAATCTATTATCTTTCTACATTAGTTGCAGGTAATTAGAAGTTATGGTAGTCAAAATAAGCAATAAATACTGATTTGATTACGTCCTTTGTTTACTTTTGTATTGACTAATCCTATTTTCACAAAAAGGAGCAGTACGCCCTTCCATTCTGCTACACCTAAAGATCGCTTTAGTCAATCTTTTTCATTCGTTGATTTCACTCAATATTATTTTTATTATTAAACCTTTACCAATGAATCCAGTTAGGCATTTGAGTGAGTATGACAATGTCAGGGTTTCTATCCGAAAAATAGGAAGAGTTTTTCGGCGATCCAGTCTTAAGGGCTTCACAGTAGAAGGCCCAGGACTGGGTCGACTTATCCGTCAGGCAAATAAGATAAGAAACCAGATAAAACAAATCCAAAATGTTTCGATTTCCTCCCCGAACCCTTCTGTGGAATAGGAACCCACACTATTAATGAGTATCTCAGACAGAAAGACAAAAAGAAAACGAAGGAACAATGGAATTCACTCTTTCGACACAGGCAATCCAAGAATCTCCTAAAAAGTTTCGAAGGACAAGAAATTACAGAATGTGTCAAAGGAAGCAGGAATAAACTGCGAATCCTAATATGATTTTTAACAGGACAGCTAAATGGACACTTTGGAAGATTGTAATAATCCAAGACGGCACGTGCAGATTCTGCAAAGAGGCAGAGGTGACACCAACACATCTACTAACAAACTGCGGTGCTTCATTTGTCCGCAGGAAGAAGTGTTTTGGGGTGTACAATGTAACCATAGAAGAGATTCAACTATTGAAACCGGGCCTATTAATCAAGTTTGTTGATGAAATAGGACTCACCGGTGTGCTTTAATCAAGGGGGATACAATAGCTCTTAAAGGGCCCAGTATATTACACCCCGACTATTATATCTACGTCTACATCTTTGATTTCCTACAGGACTGCCAGGAAGACTAACCTCACAGAGGTTAGAACTGAATGAGGTTAGAATTGAGTGCTTGGCGTGGCCAGCTCGAAGTCCGGATTTGATCCGAAACCAACTTATGCGACGAGTACGACGACGAAATCCAAGTCCTAATACCCCTAAAAGAGTTGGAAACGGCTGTTCTTGATGAATTGGAGAGAATTCCTCAGGATTTTATCAGAAATCTTTTCTAAAGAATGCAAAGGCGTATAACGGACGTGATTCGTACCAGAGGTGGAAATATTCGGTTTATATCGATGATTTACATAAAAAAAGACAATACAAAAATTTTCGATTTTTTTTTGTTTTTCTCGAAAACTACGTGTTCTACGAGTCTAATTCCTTGTCCAATCGACTCATCAGGTCAATTTACATCGAAAAAGACAATACTTTTTTTTCGATATTTTGGGGTTTTTTCTCGAAACTACGTGTTCTACGAGCCTAATTCCATTTCCAATCGACAATAATTTTGTGTGTGTTTTTTTTGCGTTTTTCTCGAAAACTGGGTTTGACGAGCCAAAATCCTTTTCCAATCGGCTCATCAGGTCGATTTACATCGAAAAAGACAATACTTTTTTTCGATTTGTTTGGTTTTTTTGCGTTTTTCTCGAAACTACGTGTTCTACGAGCTTAATTCCATTTCCATTCGACAATAATTTTGTGTGTGTGTTTTTTTTTCGTTTTTCTCGAAAACTATGTTTGACGAACCTAATTCCTTTTCCAATCGACTCATCAGGTCGATTTACACGAAAAAGACAATACATTTTTTTCGATTTTTTGGGGGGTTTTGCGTTTTTCTCGAAACTACGTGTTCTACGAGCCTAATTCCATTTCCAATCGACAATAATTTTTTTGTGTGTTTTTCTCGAAAACTACGTGTTTGACGAGCCTAATTCCTTTTCCAATCGACTCATCAGGTCGATTTACATCGAAAAGGACAATAAATTTTTTTTTCGATTTTTTTTCGTTTTTTTCGAAAACTACGTGTTCTACGAGCCTAATTCCATTTCCAATCGGCAATAATTTTTTTTGTATGTGTTTTTTGCGTTTTTCTCAATAACTACGTGTTTGACGAGCCTAATTCCTTTTCCAATCGACCCATCAGGTCGATTTACATCGAAAAAGACAATACATTTTTTTCCCGATTTTTGCGTTTTTCTCGAAAACCATGTGTTCTACCATTTTTAGAATTTTTTAAAAATTTGATTTTGAATTTGCTGTTTTTTTATATTTTTTCAATATTTTTTTAGAATTAGGAATTAAACATTTTTTTTAAATGTCTTATTTTTAAAATCAAAGCTATTTTTGGTATGCAAAATATGAATAAACCTACGTACATAACAATTTAAGAGTGATGCGTTTATTTTGTCCAACAGTGTATAATTAAATTGTTTCTTTCTTCTCTAGCCAATATTTTCAATTTCTGCACTTGCCAATTTGCAGCATTTCTTAACGAATAACTGGTATTTTCTAGCATAAAATGGAAATATTTGTACTACGTCCGTTAAACGTCCGAGTCTCTGGATGAGGGGATATCGATTTTCACGAGAGCCGATTCCTTCAAACTTTTGAGCTATTCTTATAAAAGTCTTAAAATGAAGTATTGTCCGCTACGGGAATCTTCGAGCATACACTCTTACAGCTTCACGCCCACCTTGCAGCACGCAACATATTTCCTCTTTAATGCAAGAAAAGAAAGAAACTTCAATACACAATAAAGTCATATGCGGACTATAAAAATGACAAATGTTATTTATAATTGCTTTTCGACTAATTCGAAAAAGGTAAACAAAACAAAGATTTCAAATAACTATTATCAATATAACTAGCGATCGTTGCCAAAATATCACCTTTGTAATGCATACCCTTGTAAATTTGAACGTATGCTCTCAAAATTACATTGCAAACGCTTGAATTCACTTTTCTAAAAGCATGAATAAGATGTAACAGGTTTCACTCAAAAGAAAAATTTGGTGTGCTTTTTTATATTACCTTTTATAAAATTAACAGATTTGATTCAATTTCTACCCCAACAATTAAGAGGGTTAAGAGTTTTGTTCTAGCCATTCTTAGTTTGGAGAAAAACGGATGATACATTATGTTTCAGACCCTGTGTAGTATGTCAAACGCGTATACTAAATTTAAAAGAAAAAAAATTAAAGATAAAACTACAATATTTTGTGGGAAGGCTCATTGTTTATGTCATAAAATGTTCTTTTTTAAATTGGATTTTCCTGTTACTGTTACAAGTTTTCGTCAGAAAAAAGCTGATTTTACGGCAAGTTCATCAAAATTTTGGCTTACCGACTACTGTTAGAAGCACATTATCTAGAAGGAGGGAGTAGTACACTATGGTGAGTACGACAATCTGGGAAGGATGTCGTGCTTCGACCGACATTGTTCCTCAAAGGTGCGAAACGGGTCGGGTTGGCAGAAGGACTAAGGATGCTTAGGCGAGGACCAGGCGACCCAAAACCAATGAGCTGTGATATTAGCAGCGCGGCTGCAGACGGGAGATTGGCCAGCCGGGTGTGAGATTGCTCCATATAACGCCACCTGCTACTCAACCACAATCCACATTCGAATCAAAGCAGGTTAAATCTAGTTTTGAACGTGTTGGAAATCTATTTAAATAAAAGAATTTCTTTGATTAAGAAATTAACATAGTCTTGGAGACATTACCAATTTATTTACTGAGATTTGGGCTTCATGAGTTCCATAAGGAAAATTTTTAAATATTTCGACTCAGGAACGCATAAAATAATTAACAAGAGCATTCAACCTATCACAAAGATATACACTATAATTATCTTCAATTGACATATTTTCAATTTTGTTTTCTTAAAATTAAGAAAGTGATCTACAAGAAGACCGATCGGATAAGGATCAGATGTATAAATATCGTAATAATGAAAACTTAGATGACTATTAAATCGATTAGGTTCCGTGGTCCGATTGACCAAATAAATTCTTTTCAATTAATTAATCTTTAAGTAAGGTATTGGTTGAAATAAAAAAGTCGTGTCATCAGCGGGATTCGAACCCACGACCTTCCGCTAAATACGCCGCTGTTCTACCACTTGAGCTATCAAGCTTAAATTTTTTATCTCAACCAATACCTCACTTAAAGATTAATTAATTGAAAAGAATTTATTTGGTCAATCGGGCCATGAAACTTAATCGATTTAATAAGCAAAATGAAGAATACTTCAATAAAGCTCTCCGTGGCCTGAATTGGAAAATTCAAAAAGGTGGGGTTGAGATGGGAAGTTAGTGTCTGAGTGGATCGAAGTCAAGATAGCTCAAGTGGTAGAGCAGCGGCATATTTAGCCGAAGGTCGTGGGTTCGAATCCCGCTCGTGACACTGACTTTTTTATCTCAACCAATACCTTACTTTTAGATGACTATGTTGATGTAAATTTTAGTAGATTTAAATATTGATGAATGTGAAGCGGATTTCATATTGAAATTGGTATTTCACTTGAGATCGAGAAAAACCTCCGTTTATTTCAAAGTACGCTAAGGTTTTGTTTAGAGTTCGCTCATTCCGTCTTAAGACTGCTTCGGCTACGTTCCATAGGATATTATCAGACTATCCGAAGAAATAATACAGATGAATTTTGCATAAACTATATCGACGACATATCAACTTTCTCCCGAACCTGGTATGATCACCTTCAACAAACAGTGAAGTCTTCAAATTAAAACTGGTCAAATGTTTGTTCAGTTAAATCTGTGGGACATGATATTTCAAAGAAGAAAGTTGCCCCAGCCAATTTTTCAACAACCTGATGATATCTTGTGTGCCAGGATACAAAGGAATTTTGGGTAACGAATAAGTAGACAGCCTGCAAGATCATATATCGCCCCTAAACGTATTCTTGGGATGACAAAAACAATTACAGAAGTCTGCATCACAGAATGGATTATAAAAGATGGATAAAACTCTTGGGACGCTAGTAAATAGCATAATTAAACTTACGCTATAACATCCCTCACAAAGACTAGCAAATTCACTGCTACAATTATAGAGGGCTAAACTTAGAGGAGTATAGGACTATTAACCGGTCACTGGCATGAGAAAACATCTACAACATGGGCATGTTCACTGATGACCCCATTTGTAGTTATGCAATGAGGAGGAAGAAACAACCACCCATATCCTCTTCGAATGCGAAGCCTAATGAAAACATAACTTAGGATACAAAAATACCCAAGGGAAAAAATTGTAACAGCGACAGACAATGGCCTAATACTTCCGAGAAGAGCGATTGAGTAGATCGCACGGAACTAGGTATCTAGTTCCAGAGGACTGCAGTGCCTTGGGAGCACAAACCCCGCTTCCTAGCATCCAGCCCTAGTATCATCATCATCACCTTACACAAGCGGAAAAACTTTAGATCCCACTAAAAAACGTGTGTGTATGTAGTATTTTGAGTAGCTTAAACTTTTATTTGAGCTACGAAGAAAATAATAGTCAGACATATAGACAAATCAAATTTTATTGTGAGCGTCATTTTTAACAATCAACAAAATTACATCCTTGAGCCAAGATAAATTTAATATCCAGGTTGTTAGTTATTTTTGTGAACTAAATACGATGATATACGGAATTATCTTGCGATTATACTAACAATCAAATGAAGTTCACGTATAATCTGTTCATTCATTTGACTCACTATCTGGCCTCCTTCTCCAGCCATCTCAGTAACATCTAAAAAAAGACATTTTTTCGTTTTGCTGGGGACAACTAAGGATTCCAAACCTTTTCTCTACTGCAACCTACATACAAAAGTCTCTTGTAGAACTCTTATAAGTATAATCGTACCTTAGAAAGTGCACTCTTTTTACAAGAACATTCCTCGGTGCCACTTCGCGCTATATGTTTATGTCGATATGTTTTCGTTGCCTCTGGTTTCTTTCTCTGCTTTACCCATCTTATTTAGGTGATAGTTAAGTTCGAACATTGCCCGGTATAGAGAGGGTTATAATTTTCCTCAAATGCCTGCTGAAAGATTTGCCTTCCTTTTTGAGATATCTATAGTCCTAGCTTGTATCAAAACTGGGGCTTGAGTTTTTCTTCCTCTAGCTATTTTTCCACTTGTGTGCACCTACTGTTGTTCTCGTCCCACGGGTGAGAGTGCTGCCCCTTTTTTGGCTAGTTAGTACGTCTGGTTGTTCATTTCCTTTTATATAATATTTATGTTTCTTTGGGGTTTCTTATGAACTCAATAAGTAATCTTATAAAGTAGCTATTGTTACAACAAGACTACATTATAATTTTAAAGCACAAAAGGCGAGCTAAGATGATAAGTTAGAGAGCATAAAATGCAATTGTATTAAATTGGTTTCGTTTTAAAAGTTTGAACTTGTGGTAACTTAGCTAAAGGTTTTTTTTTGTTTGCAACAGCGAGACCGGCCGCGAACGACGGCACCTGATATTCCTCCTTTGTGCTTGAGCAAATAGTCGAAGTTAATTTAACTCCAAAAGGAGTTTAGAGATGGGTCGTTAATTGCGTTTGTGCAAGCAAGAGGGGTGGCCCAGTTAATTAGCAGATTGAAATCGATAGTTTTCTCTCTCCGCATTATACAAAGAAACTAAGGAGAACAAAACAAAGTGAGTAAAAGTGCACTTCAAAATTAATTCAATGGGAATTTATTCCGTTGGTGTGAAGACAGGCAAGTGTTACGAAACGGACGTCTGTAACATTGGTTTTCTGTGGTGCGATATTTCAGTTAAGATTTATTCAGAAGAAGCCTTTTTGCATTGATGAAAATGGAAAACTGTTCACTTCTTTTCAACGTCCTTTCGGATCGGTTGAAAATTTTCGAATTTAAATGTGACAATTAATTTAAAGTGAAACGATTAGCTGTTGTTTTGTCGTAGTTTTCTTCTTCCTTTCTTAGTCGTCGATTATAAAATTAAAATTCACCGGTAACGTGTCTTTTCGATTTAGAAATCGAATCGTTTTTGGATTTATTTATCCACAACATATAAAAAAATTAGCTTAAGTTTTGGGTTCGGTAAATTATTTAACACAGTATTATAAAACAAAGGCTTTTAGGATTAAACAAATATTGTTCCGACAACCTATTTTGAAAATTCAAGTTTTGGATAAAGATTCTCCATTTTACTTATATGTGGTATCAGACTTAGTTGCCGGTGTTGTACTCAAAATCGAAAATAATAAATATTTACCAGCAAATTACATATCAAAATGTTCAACGAACACTTAAAGCAACATCGAGAAAGAATACCTGACTATTGATTTAGCAGTTCAATATTTTGCAAGGAATATTCAGCCACACTTTTTACTGGCAATCAGAGCTTAAAATGGCTCTTTGATAGTACGGGAAAATTTAAGCGAAAATTTGCTGGATGAATTGTTTTGTCATTGGATTTGAATCATACATAATTTCTCATCATCCTGGCAAAGAAAATTGGGTTGTTGATATTTGAACAAGAGCTGAGTTAGTCCGAGATAAAGTTTCCAAAAATTTGAAAATAATTTAGAAAAGAATTTAGAATATAGGTTGACAGGTTTACATGATTTTCCTGAATTATCCAAAATACATATTTCGAGAGGAAAAAAGGATAAATAATTATATCTAGGATACAAAAGAAAACCTGTTATGTTATCAAGATCGTTGTATGCCTACTCCAAAAGTATATTTGCTCACAACCTTAAAAAAAGTAGTGTTTCATTATAATCACAATTTGGGGGACGTTTAGGAATTTTCAAAACTCAAAACTTGGGCACAATATATATGTATACGTTCCTCTAAGGAAAAAATCATATCATAACTTATTGCGCGAGTGCCAAAGACTATAAAGTTATAGCAAATATATAATATATTCTGATGTAGGGTAGTTAATGAACTACACCTTGGATCATGTTACATGCGAATTAGTATACATGTATACTACTATATACTGCTGTTATCAAAACTGTAATGAATATAAGATCAATAAAGTTTTCTTAAAAAAAAAAAAAAAAAAAAAAAAAAAAAAAAAAAAAAAAAAAAAAAAAAAAAAAAAAAAAAAAAAAAACGACCCCGAACACACACTCTTACGCTCTCATCGTTCGAGGGGTGATGATGACGTTATATTTCACCCTCACCCCTCGCCATTCTCGCTAATAAATACATGCACTCGTGTTCGTTGTTCTTCTCTCTAACGAATATTAGTTGTATTAATAATTTTTCAGGAAAAGATATTTATTATTCAGAACAACACCTTCGATATAACGTTTTAAATTTCATTTAATTTTCATAATGTGTGATAAAAATATTATAAAACAAGGGGTAAAGAAACATCGTGTGTTTATATCTCGGGAAAGAGGAGAGAAAGAGAGGGAAAGGGAGAAAGAGAAAGAGAAAGAGAAAGATAGAGAGAGG